TGTAATTTAGTGAATAAAAAAGAAAACTTAAAAAGCTTTATTCAAGCGTTTGATGTTGCATAAGGTAGCGGGTGGCACCGGAAAAGAATGAAAAACGCATGGATAATAAATAAAATTTTAGTATTAAGCTCTACTATATAGTAATAAATAAAAATATAGTATATAGAGAGAGCAAACGCTTGAATAAAGCTTTTCCAAGTTAACCAATTTGAGAGATTTAGAGTGGTAGAACCAATCAAGCTCTAACCCCAATACACTATTTTAAAAACATGAGGACACTAATCAACGTTGGCCTAGATTCTACATATATAATTTATCTTTACAAAAATATTGTAGCAAAATATATTTCCCAGATTTTTTTCTATTTTCCTTTTAATTATTATACAATATAATAAATATATTTTTCTGTATAATGTTTGTTAGATATAACATTTTAATTACTTTAAGATGTAGTAGCTTACAAAAGTCGTTAAATATAATTGGCATGAACAATTTTAAATATTGGCGTAAACTCTTTTCAATATTCTTTATATTTCCATATAAGTTAGTTATTCATTTAAAAATTGGTGCAATAGCCGTTAATTATAATTGAAGCGAAATAACAACTTATTGATACTTTTTAAATATTAGTTAAAAAATTAACGATTAATAATCGTTAGATACATATAATTGGCATGTAATATTTGAAATGTCTGTTATACTTGTAACATATTGGAAAATTGTTTAAGATTGGAGACTAATTTAATACAAAATACATATAAGATGTCATATTATTTAGGTAGTCTAATGTAAGGACTTTAAAATATTGGAAAGAACATAAGAAGATTGTAAGTTTATAGGATAGTCAAAGCAGGATTCTTAACTATCTTACCAAAGAAGAAAAAAAACATTTAAGACATAACTTAGACTATGAGAAGAATCTAGATGTGGTTAAAAAAGTATTTTCTTCAACATGTATCTGCCCATCTATATAAATTAGACTCTTCCTCAATGTTCTCATCAGATATTGTGAGATTTTGTTATTGTTTATATAAGATTATATTATAGCTATGAGTTCAGAGAGTAGTGTAAAGGAAATTACCAAACAAGTCGTTGAACCAGTTGATGTTGGTGTTTGCGTAATTTGTCAGGAGTCAATTGCTGACAATGATGATCAACGCACAGTCGTTAATCTTCGTTGTAACCATGTCTTTCATTTAGGTAAAAAAATAAAATAATTTTAGTTTATGAAATACCAGATTCTTAATATATGTTTCACAAGTCTTGTATTATTTTTTTGTGTGTGTGCAATTAGTTGTGAATGTATTCTTGATAGAATATTATTGTTTACAGATCTTCTTAGATTCACGTTTTGTTTGATACATCCATTAACTCAAATCTATAGATTTATGTAGACCAAAAGTGTCAATTATATATGAGCTAGTATTAGATTGTTGGCTGTGAAAGTTAACTATTTTTATATTATATACTTTTAAAATTATAATTTTCCTCTAATAATTTTGGTTTTTCTTTTTTTTTTTGAATAAAATGTAAAATTTATTCGAAAAAAATACTTTTGTACAACTAGTGCAACGTTTTCTTTAACGGTCTAATTTTGTTTTTTCTTATGTTGTGACATCAATTTATCTTTACATCTTTCCCTCTACAGATTGCATTGGGTCTTTTTCAATTCAAAGAAAAAATGGAGTGTCCTTGTTGTAGGCAAACCGAGAGAGGTAACTGGTTGCTTCCAAATTTTGCTGAGCCTTCATCTCCGACTCCGGATACCGATTTTGATATTTTGGGTGAAGGAGCTGATCATATGAGATCGTTACCGGCCATGGTAATAGATCTAAACCTTGATACATTAAAATATCTATTATTATGATATTAGGTTTCGAATTTGATATTATTTAATGAGTACTTATCATATTAATTTGTTACATTAGGTTGAGCCAACCATGATGTGGATCGACGAGATGTTGTCTTCTGTTGAAGATTATGTCGAAAGACTCTTTGCCAAGTCTTTTAATTCTTTGCATTCTCCATATGAACCGAACCATGTGCCCTCTCCATATGATCCGAACCATGTGCCCTCTCCATATGATGTGAACCCTATGCAGCCTCCATATGCTCTGGACCAAATCCGTGACATTGGTATCATGAGGTATGGGATATGGAGGATTGGCCTTTCCTTGGAGGTTTGGTTGGAACATCAGGTAGATGAACACATACCCCTTATTGTTGATAGCCAACATCGCTTACAAAGAATGATGTATGAGTACCAATGCATTACCGGAGGAATTGGTATTGACGGTGAAAGCAGCGGTGGGGGAGACGGCGACAGCAGCAGTGGTGGTGCAATGGCTGAGGAAGAGGTAGAAATGATGGAAGAGTAGCAAAGGGAAATGATAATTTAGACTTTGCTTTTTGTTTCAATTGTTTTGCTTATAGTTTTTTTTTTCATGTCTCTTTTTGTTTATCAAACTAAAAATTTCAGTGTTTCTTTGTTTTTGCTTCATTTGGTTTCTTGTTTTAGATAACTTGGCATTGAATATCGTTTTATTTGACATCTATATTATTTGAGTTTCACCCAACTTACAAAGTTAAAGGATAAATATATTCTTCTAAGGTTTTAGATGTAAATAACAATAAAACTTTGACAAAAAAAATATATATATAAACATACTTCAAAATTTTCAAATCACTTAACCTAGCAACAAAGACCATATATATCAAACATATGGTAAATATAAATATATATATATATATATATATATATTGACTCAAGTATATAGAAATAACCTTTAAAAGGAACAAAATAATTTATTTTTTGTATATTGAATATTGACTCAAACTAAAATCCTAATAAAAAAATTAGCTAATCAAAAGTTATGAGTCCAACTTTACGACCACGGTTTTAGTATTGGGCAAAATATTAAGTTAGCCGGGATTGACTACATCGGGGATTGCTACAATGGCATATTGGCATGGTCTTTAAATCGAAGATATGTAACAGCTAAAACAGAGCTTGTCTACATTATCCCAAGGTTCCCTGCTCATTTCGATGAAATGAGTAATGTAGTTCCCTGCTCATTCATTGAGGTTTGGTTTTTACGAAAATCATGAAATTAAAGTAGTCTTTTTATATCATACACACAAACACACTTCATCACAAAATACTAATAGGCTCGCTCATAGCATTATAAACTAGTTTATCAAACCAAATTCTTTAAAATCATTGAAAATCAAATCCACATATTGTTTTTAATAACAATGGATTTTAAGGTGGATTTTGAAATGTTCGATAACACTAATAACACTAGATTTCATGAGACTTTTTAAAATACTTGTTTGAATAACATACGGTTTATAAATTCTACACAATTTTCTTAAAATTCCACTTTGAATACAACATCCTTAGACTATATATGTACAGAAAAATTTAAGGGTTGTTAAAAAGTATTTGCCCATCTATATAAATTAGTCTCTTTATCTCTCTTCTCTCCACATATTACTATGGGATTAGGTTATTGTCTACATAAGATTAGACAATTGCTATGAGTTTAGCGAGTTATGTTAAGGACCAAACCAGTTGTTGAACCAATTGATGTTGGTGTCAGTTTGTTAAATTTCGATGTACCCACATCTTTCACTTGGGTAAAAAAGAATTAAATTTAGTTTATGAAATACTAGATTTTTGAAATCTGTTTCACAAGTCTTATATTAATTTCTTTTTTTGTAGCATTTAGTTATGAATGTATTATTCATAGAATTATTGTTTACAGATTCTTAGTTTCACGTTTTGTTTGCTGCATCCATTTACTCGAATCTATATATTATGCCGACCAAAGTTGTCCAATATATGAGATTATTTAGCAAATTAGTATGAGATTCTTAGCTTGTGAAAGTTATTTGTATTTTTGTTATGAACTTTTGAAATTATAAATCATCTTGTAATTGTTTTGCGTTTTCTTATGTTGTGATACCTATCAATTTGTTTCTTAACATGTTTCTCTCTACAGATTGTATTGGTCATTTCAATTCAAAGAAGAAGATGGAATGTCCATGCGGCAGAAAAATAAAGAAAGTTGAGTCATGTGGAGTCACGTCTCCAAGGAAGGGCCATTGTTCAGCCAACCATACCGTGGAATGATAGAATGTTAACTCATCCAAGTCCACATATACGCCGTCCATATATAAAATAATAAATATTTTTTTTTCTGTAAAATATTGGTTATATATAACATTTTAATTACTTTAAAACATAGTTGGTTTACAAAATTTGTTACACATAATTGGCGCAAACAATTTTAAATATCTGTTATTTATCGATGTTTTCCATATATGTTAGATATTCATTTTTTAAAATTAGTGCAATAACCGTAAGATATAATTGGTATGAAATAAAAATTTATTGATATTAGTTAAAGCAATTAACAGTCAATAGTAGTTAAATACATATAATTGGCGCGTAATATTTGAAATGTCTGTTGTACTTGTAACACGTTTTATTTGTTAGTTATTCGTTATAAACTGATTTTCCATATAAGTTAGATTTTTATTTTTAAAAATGGTTCAATAACTGTTATTGACGCGAAAAAGCAACTTATTGATACTTTCTTACACATAAGTTAAAAACAACTAACTGTCAATAGTTGTTAGATACATCTAATTGGCGCGCAATGTTTGAAATGTCTGTTATACTTGTTAGGTATTTAAGATTGGAAACTAATATAATACCAAATACATATAAATGTCATATTATTTTGGTAGTCTATGTAGAGACTAAAAATTATTGGAAAGAACATAATAAGATTGTGAAGTTTAAAGGACAGTCAAAGCAGAATTCTTAATTATCTTACCAAAGAAGATTAAACATTTAAGACATAACTTAGACTATGAGAAGAAGAATCTAGAGGTGGTTGAATATATTTGCTTCAACAAGTATATATAAAAAAGACTCTTCCTCTCTGTTCTCTTCACAAATTGTGAGATTAGATTAAGATTAGACAATAACTATGAGTTCAGAAAGTAATGCTAAGGAAACCAAACCAGTCATTGAACCAGTTGACGTTGGTGAGATTTGTGCAGTTTGTCGGGTACCAATTGCTGACAATAATAATGAACGAAGTCTCGTTACACTTCGATGTACCCATTGTTTTCACTTAGGTAACATTTCATTAATATTAATTTTTGTTTTTGTGACATTGATCTATCAAAACATTTCTTTACATGATTCCCTTTATAGACTGCGTTGGTTCGGCGTTTAACGCAAAGAATAGAATGGAATGTCCGCTATGCAGACAAACTGAAAAAGGTGACTGGTTGTTTGCAAAACCTACTGAACCCGATACGGTAATAGATCTATCTATATATATATATATACTTTTTCGTTTTTTAATAGACGATATTTTAGCCTTTTTGAAAAAAATTAGATGATTTTTTCACAAATCTATTCAAAATTAATTCATTTTTATTGGTTTAAAACTTTTATATTCTACAGATTATTTTTTCATTGGTTGAATCGTGTTTATATAGGTATCAAATGATGTTTTTATTTTAAAATAAGCAAAAATTTAATGATTTCTTATTCTAAAACGGATGAAGTATTATATATCTTCACATTAAATTGCCAATATGATATTAGGTTTGGAAATTGATATCATTTAATGAAATATTGATTTGTTATATTAGGTTGATGAACCAACGATGATGTGGATCGACAATGTGTTGTCTTCTGCTGAAGGTTATATCGAGGGACTCTTTGACAATACTGTGAGTCCTATACACCTTCCATATGCTCTGAACCCTACGCACTCTTCATATGCTCTGAACCAAATCCGTGACAATGACAACACAAGGAGGAATGACCTGTCCTTGGAGGCGAGAAGACAACGTCAGCTAGAAGAACACTTAGCCCTAATTGTTGAAAGCGAACGTCGCTTACAGGAAATGATGTATGAGTATCATGGCATCACCGGAGGAAATGCTATTGGCGATGAAAGCAGCATTTGGGGAGGCAGTGAAAGCAGTGGTGGGGGAGACAGTGAAAGCAGTGGTGGGGGAGATGGTGAAAGCAGTGGTGGTGATGCGGTGGCTGAGGAAGAGGTTGAAATGATGGAAGAGTAGCAACAGGAAATGATAGAGACAAAAGCAGGAAGTTGTGACTCAAAGATATTATGTTTTGTCTTCTTGGTTTTTTGTTTATCAGACCACAGATTTCAATGTTTTTTTTTCGTTATGCTTCATTTGGTTTCTTGTTTTGGATAACTTTGAAATAAATATGTTTTCTGATATCATAAAATTTTGTGGCTTCTTTTTATTTGACATATCTGATTAATTAGCTTAACCCAAGTCCTTGTAAAGTTAAAAGGAAACAAAAAAAATTCTTTCAAGGTTTTAGATATAAATAACAATAGCATACAATATTGACCAAAAATATATAAAACATACTTCATGAAGGGGGGGGGGGGGGAAATAGATAGTGAGATTTTTATTTATATTAAATGAAAAGAAAATTATATATTGATTTCCAAATATTGAAAAATCAAAATAGAAATTTTTAAAAGGAAAAAAATCATTTATTTTTTGTATGTTGAATATTGACTCAAATTAAAGTCTTGATAAGAAAATTAACTAATTAAAGTTATGAATAAAATTTTATGACCAGGATTTTGGTATTAGACATGATCACCAGTTTTAACAGATTTTTATCACATGAGATGTAACTTATTTTTTCCCATCTTGCTCTTGTTTATTTTTTTTTAACTTTAAGAGGGAGCATGTTTAATGGTGGTACGCATTAAAAATGTCTAAAACAATTAATTATGATGTTTTATACAAAAGTGAATTTAAACCCTCCTAAATGTATATCTTAAATTTAGATACAAGTCTAAATTTTTAGAACAAATATTTTAATAAACTTAATTATTATATATTAAGATCTATTGTTAAAACACTCATAAAATCACTGTCGTACATGCTCTAAGACCGATCATGCGCTTATTTTTTCCCCAAATCTTTTCTATCGAAACTCAAGTGGGGTGGGGCTGGTAGCATATCCCTTTGTACTTACTGAATGTTCTTAGCATGTTCAAGATGAGAAATTGTAGAGGAGCAAAAAAATATTTTACAAAAATATCTTCACAATTTAGTGATTTTTAAAATTATTTTAGGGCCTTCTAAAATATTAATCCTCATCATAAGGTTAAAAATATATATTAGTACAGGGCCAAATATTTCAATGAGCCGGGCTTGGCTAAATCCGGGATACTTCTACCTCTCCGTGCTACAAGATTGGGATAATAATCTAAAAGTTCAAAACCCGAAAATAGTTTTGGATTGTCAACCTTAAACCTTGAGGACCACTAATCATAGTTTTGGCTCATTCACTAACGTTTGGTTTTCTTACGAAAATCATTAACATAAAGTAGTCTTTTTACATCACACACACACACGTCATGACAACATACTAATAGGCATACCAAAATCTTAAAAAGACTCCAAAGGTCGACATAATTAACAAAATGGAATCACCAAGTTATGGAAATATGGCTTCCTTGGGCCACAAGCAGAAGTAGCAGCTACAACACTCATCCCACCATGTCCATCGACAATGTCCATGTTCCATAACCCGTCCCATATCGCATTATCTTCATTCGTAGTATTAGCGTCAAGTATGTTTACCGGAGCAAGCCTCCCTTGTAACTGCTCCTCTAACAAATTAGGGTTATAGCCAAAGGGTTTTGATGAATGTGTTACTTGATGAGGAGCATAGAACACATTGCCATTGCTGCCGCAATCGCTGCTGCTAGTGCTATTGTTGTCTTCGAGTAAAGAGATGATCTTTTTCATATCGAGTTGGTCGAACTGAAACAACTGTTGTTCTTGTTGCATCTCTAATTCTCTCTGTTGCTTGAATTGTTCCCTTTTTAGGAGACGACTCTTTGTCTTCTCCACATTGTTAGTGGTTGGCTTTGCCTTTTTCTTGAAATGGGTTCTCCAATAGTTCTTGATCTCGTTGTCTGTTCTTCCTGGTAAACTACGTGCAATTGTTGACCACCTAGACAAAACCCTAATAATTAAGACAAAAGCCATGCATAGACAAAACGTAAAAAAGAAAAAAACAAAACTGATGACTTTGGTTTTTTTTTGGTTTTGAGGTAATTTTTACCTATTTCCCCACTTAGCGTGTAGCTCAATTATTATACTTTCTTCGTGAGGAGTGATCTGACCTCTCTTGAGGTCTGGTCTAAGGTAATTCACCCACCTTAGTCTGCAGCTTTTGCCATTCCTCTTCAATCCTAATGATCAAAACATTATAAATGAATGAATCAATCAATCAATGTCTTAAAAATTATCAAAAACATTTGTTTAAAAATATTGAATATTGTGATATAATTAGGGAAGACCATATACTAAAACATGCAAACACTAAAGAAAAGTGGTGGTACCTGCGAGTCTAGCAACAGAGTTCCAACGACCTTCACCGTGAACGCGAACGTATTCGATCAAGAGACGATCTTCTTCAGCGGTCCATGGACCTTTTCTCCAAACTTCTTCTACCATTCCCCATCCACCTCCCTTCACTCCCCACCAACTCATTCTTCTTCTTCTTCTGATTTTGAGGAAAATTATATAGTTTTTCTCTATTAGATCTACCAATCTGTTAGCTTTGTCTTGATATGGAAGCTCTGTGCTGTTCTGCTTTGATGTCTTATGTTCTTATATATGCACTGACTAAAGCTTTTTGGGTCCACCACTTCTCTCCATCACTATATTTTGTTGTTTTCTTTTATGTTAAGAGAAAATGGTAATGAGAAGATCAAAAGAAAATGAAATTATTTTTTATTTAAACAATATGTTAATGTCTTTTTAGCATATCGTATCAAATATTGAAGAGCATACAATCTATGTATATGTGGGTAAAAGAGATCACAAGATAAGAAACCTCATAATCCAAAACAAAAGGGTAAAAGCCTATATAAATTGTAAGTTATGTCTATTTAATTATTTACTATTGATTATTCTGTAGAATTTATAACAAATAATTAGATAAAATTTGCTGCCACAATTTTAGAAAAAGACAACACTTGTGTCGTGTCTTATGAAAAACAATTTAAATTGAAAAAGGTCTCATTGGTTTCTAAAAAGGGTATTATAGAGGTTAAGGAATGAAAATGTTAAGGCATTGGGCAACAATTTCTAAAGCATCAAATCCAATACTCTTTTTATGCAAAAAAAAAGTGAGATTCTCATAAAGTTAGAACTTTAATTATATGACACGTACACTATCTATGTGTCTATAGAGGCCTATATTGAATTATTCATATACATGCTCCCTTAATTATAATGGTTTAAAACTAACAACAATGGATGGTAGTGGAGTAACACATAACTACACCACTCATATATGTCCAAGTGTTAAGGAAACTTATACATGCGATCTCACACTGAAGTCTTTTTTTATGTTTATGTTGTTCATTGGATTACACGTAAGGACTTGTGGCAATAAGTTAAGTAATTATTTTAAGTCCTTTTAACGTCATCACAAGACAGGTGGCTTATATTAAGGTAATTGCCAGTAGATATTTGCAGTAAAATTATCACTAACTAGGTGAGTATAGGAAAGGCTAAGTAGGTTTATTCTAAGAACTTAGTTTCTTAAATATATTGTTACCAAAAGGTTGATGATGTCATAAACTTTGTTACAACTCAATGAAGATTTGAGATATGTCTTTCACTTTTCACGAAAACATATAAAATTTGGAGTTACGTGTATTTGATGATAAGAATATCATGAGAAATAAAACATAATTAACATGGGTGGAAAGTATAATATCGTGGACTTTCACTTAAAACCAATTGACAATGAGTTGAGAAGCTCATATTTTATATATACTATATAAAATTTTACTCAATTTTCAATATGAGATATTGATATCTCTAATATATTCCTTCAAGATGATGGCTCTTTCCGCCATAAATCTCGGTATGTTTGGGCATGAATCGGTGGACTAACTATTCGGCTAACCCGATTGTGGATTGGATTGAGTATGTGTGGACTGGGCTCTGATACCGTATTAGATTGTGGATTTCCAACTTAAAACCAATTGGCAATAAATGAGAAGACTCATATCTTATATATACCTCTGAAGATCTTAGTCAACTTATAATGTGAGATATTATTATTCCTAATAGAGAGTTCTAAAAGTTCTACATATTCGATTTTTCGATCTTATCCCAATTTTATCCTATTTGCTTGATTCTTATTATGTTGTAAATTATATATAATGTATATCTTGCATACAAGCTTTGAAAGTAAAACAAATGAATAAAAATGGTAGTGATTAGGTAAGATTAAGCATAATTAGTGATGCTCTCTTATTTTATTTGTAGTGCTAAACCAGAACATCTTGAACTGCAAAAGTTTGACCCGAGGATCCATAGAGCTGAAGTGTTACTTTCATGCCCGGTCCAAAGCAATATAAATTTTTTCACTTTTATCCACTTCTTTACTCTTGGCAATCTCCATTATTTTATTGATTAGCTAATAAGCGTGTTTGTTACCCACTAGCTAAAAGATTAAGATGTTTTGCATAATTTAACCATACGTGTGGTTGGCTAGAACATATCCATAGCCTTTTCTTGTAGGTTGAAATTTGACTACATTGGCTAATTTCTCTGTTTAGCAACAAGATTTAGTTAAATAACCTAATAGAGACAAGAAACTTTTATGACAACATGGTATCAAAGCTTGGAATTTGGACAGCTAATCATCTTAATTATATACATATTGTAATGACTATGATTGGTATTTGGTAATAACAAACCCGAACCGCAACGAAACGGTTAACTGAACCGCAACGAAACGGCTAACCAAACCGCAACGAAACGGTTAACCCAATCTCCATAAACGTTGCTATAACAACTGAGAAGTATATATTCCTTTTAATTATACATTAGTTTAATGCATTACAATGGTATTTCAAAATATTATTTTGTAATCATTGTACATTTTTGTGGTTACAAGTTATTTGGACAAACTATGAGCTTGTAAGTTGACAATATGAGGCTTAATAATACGTACACAACTGAAGAAACAAGATCTTGTTATCTTTTATAAAACTGCTTATAGTTTTTGCTCAACGAAATTAACATCGATTATATATCGAAAACGAAAAATGTAATGAAATGAACGTATGCGTTTTGGCTTACATGGATGTTAAACAATACAAACAAAAGTAAAATTTAGATGTAGTCATTTACATTCACATTTGGCCTACATAGAGATTGTTTTTTCTAAGTGGAAGACATATTATATTAGACAATATATATATATATATATAGACCTAACTTAGATAGCTATTGTTGAATATGTTCCACACATTTCGTTTTCAGAACCTTTTCTCATCACTTACATATGCATGTACGCCAAATTCAAAAAGAGACATAATTATTGTAATTTTATAACATTAGTTAATTTGTTACTTCTTTCCTTCTATAAAAAACTCTTGATCAAGATAATGATTATCAGTAAGAATATTGCAACTTGGTCAAGTTAAACCCATTGTCATAAAAAAATAGTTTTGGTAAATCCATCATAGATATGGATAACGTCGTTTAAAAGAATAAGTTATATGTGACTGTGTTTGTGTTATGTCATGTATGTACCAGTCAGTTATAAGGACATTACTAGCTATGTTTTGTTTTTTTGAAAATATTAAACCATAAAGATAATTAGAACCGATTAAACCCAAACATAACGAGTAAAACACGTGTTTAATCACATTTCTCTAATCTAAAAATTTAGGAAAACACCAAAATGGTGAAAGCGGTCGGAAATAAATTGAGGATGCGAGCAAAATGAAATTCTGGTTCGAAGATATACCCGATCCAAGTAGGTTGTGTGCAATGTCGGACCACATAGTGAAAGTATATGGAGAAATGAAGGATGCATGATCTTTTGTGTCATTAGAAACGTTAGGTTTTCAAATTAAGTTATTTACTTTAATCATATGAATTTTGTTGGAAATGATCTCATCAAAACCCTTTTAGAGTTTTACCTAATGATCATTATTATAAAAAGAACTCCATTTGTTTTTTTAATTATTAATTATTTTCATAGAGTATTCAAGAACTTTTATACCTCTTTAAGTTTTGTTTTAGACACACGAAAAAAAATGGTTAAGAAAATATCGAATAAGCATAATCTTGTTAAAAATAATCTTAAAGAAAATTAGGTTTAAAGTTAATATTTAGAATTAAAATATATAGTATGAATGTGTAGTAGAATCATTATACTCCTAAACTAGACTAATCATGACTTTTGCATCACCGGCCTATGTTAATGTTGATTTGATTCATGTCTCTAACACAAAAAATCACAATCTTTGGGTCCACGTAAACGTCATGATAAATTCGTTCCCGACATTTAAAAAAAAAATACAATCTTACCCAAACATGTAACTAAGAATATTTTTCTCAACAATCACAGAGTTCTCAGCCAAAATCCATACATCCCTCAGGTCCGATACCAAAACATATTATATGGTGCATTCCAAACTCTATTCGAACCAGCGATTTTTAAACTAAAAATATTGAGTAAAGAAAATGCTCAAAATCATTGTTTATTTTTGTCATCTTTGATCAAAGTTAATGATACGAAACCGAATCTGGCTGTTGAGCACTTGTGACCAAACACATCTCTACCCTTTTGGACTTTGACTAAACAAGAAAAAGTTGTAGAGCTTTTTGGACGGATGTGTATGATTAGCTGGTCAATACTTATGGACATTGGGGTCGATTCGTCATGATTTTCCCACACGGATGCACAATTTTTAGTTTAGTTTATAATCTCTTGTCGTCAGTAACTAATTCACTAATTCTACTAGATGAGTAGAACATTAAAAAAAATCCTAGATGAATATCACAAAACACTATGTACAGAGTCTTACCAAAACCAATAAAAAGCTATGTGACAAGGAAATTTATACCAAAGATGTGACAAAGAGTTTTTTTTTTCTTAGCTTGGTTAATAAACAAGACAAATACGATGATATAGACTTATACAATAGCACAAGTAGAAGTGGTTGTGCCATCAGCAAATTTAATGGTTGTCTTGTAACATATATATATGAAGCAATACGCTTTATCCTAAACAAGCAACATGTTATAGGCAATGTTCAGATAATTGATTAGGTCGTAAATGCTGATCACTTCGACAAAATTATGTAAACCTTGTTTCAATGTATTTATCTAATTTGTAACTATAGATATAAAAGGTTATCAATCTTTCTAAGCTTGTATCAAAGTTTAAATGTTAGGCAATGGTTATTGTCTGCATGCTTACCGCCTAAATTTTTTCTAAAACATCATTTATCGATGCGACACCATATTGATTCAAATTCGTTATGATGCATGTTGATAAAAATGATCGTTAACTTTTGTTTTGTAAGTCATTATCCTTAGCCTAGATCTCAAGTCCTTCCCCAAATTAGGTTTCTCAAACCTTTCTAAACAATCCATTGAAAACGGTGGAGTCATAAACAGTTTTCTTTAATTGTCTTATAAGATGCTGATACTTAGTCATGGGCATACAGTTTTTTTTTTGGGTTGAACTGGTCGGGTTATTCTGTTTTTTTTTTTTTAAATATTGTTTACCAAATATCTTTTAGAACTAAACAAAAATAAATTTCAGTTGGATCGATGGGGGCTAAAGGGCAAATTTCAACATGGACAATTTCATAAATGTATATTTATACTTTAACTTTGCTATCGTGTGAATTTCAACCTAACTAAACATTTTTTCGAATAAACAACATGAACTACTAAATTTATGCCAAAATCAACATTTTCCGGGATTATGTTGGTCAACCACGATGAGTCAGATGTTATATATGCAAATTTTGCCGAGTCATATGCCACATGTGCAAATTGAAATTGTTCAGGTTGAAATTTGCCCCTTACCCGATCGATGGGTACTCAAGTTATTCAGATCAATTATAAGCCGAGAAATTAATTATGAACTGAACTAATGAAATTTATTCTGGTTTACTCAATTTTAATTCGGTTTACTGAAATTATTATGGGCTTAAAACCACCAAATATGAAACCTAATATCAAATTTTGTCATTTTAAAAATACTTGGGCCTAAAAAAAACAAAAAGAAAACTCCCATTTAAGAAGAAAAGATAGTAGAGGAGATCGTAGAGGCGAAACGCATAAAGAGTTGATTTGGTTTTCTCAATCAATTAATTCGTGCTAGTTTAGCTTTTGTAAACTCATAAACTATTTTCTACCAAACTAATTTCAACCCAACTCATTTAACTTATCAACGTCAAAAATTAAAATCCAAAATATAACGTCAAAAATTAAAATCCAAAATATTAACTCGATGAAATTTTATGGTTTTTCTTGGATTGAGATGCCACGTTAATTTGGTCCATTTTAGCACCCCTAATTAGTGTATAATAACTTTAAATAATTGATTTCATATATTTAGAAGTGGAATATGTATGCCAATTGGATCTTTTCTAATAATACCAGGCAGTTTAAAATAGAATTGGGCTTAATTTGTCCAAGAGAAAACAAATGTTTTTTCATGGATTGAGCAACATATACCATTTTATCATAAATTTTTTTATGTATATGCATTATTGTTTGATAATATATGGATATCGCTAGTCCTCTCATGCTCTTAGTATTTTACTCCTTGTCCCTTACCTTACTCACACGTTACGTGTGACACGTCTAGGGCCAAATACTCAATATCAATTGGTCACTTATTATGTTATTATGTTATATCAATTGGTCACTTATTATGGAGAATTTCGATAGAGAAATCAGCAAAAAAAGACATAAAAAACATCCCCGTCATGTTCTTATTTATCTCCTTTGCGTTGCGTAACATTTCTTATACGGAAACTATGGGGAGATAGAACCGGAGATCCACGTTCTAGTCAAGAAGGCTAAAATGTGAAAATACGAAGATATGATTCTATGATATTTTTCGGGGACATTTATAAAAATGTACTAAATTGTATAAAAAGTTAGACAACTACACTATATATTATTGTTATTTGAAAACTATACTTTTAATATTAAAATGGACGAAAATACCCTTATATTTAATCACCAATATTAAATAAATTAACTAAAAAATAAAATTTTAATTTTAAATTTTAAAATTTAAAATTAAAAAACGTATTAATATTTGAAAAAATAGCGCTGTAACACCGTTTTCAACTTTGTTATTTCACTTTAACACTGTTTGAGACCATGACACCGTTTTTGGCTGTGAATAGACAAAACACTCCCTAAGTAAACTCTTAACTAAATAACTTTTTTTTGTAATATTGTTTCACCTACAAAATCTCGTTTCATTTTGTATATCTTTTAAAGCTAATAAAATAAAATAACATAAACTAAGTTCTCATCCACCAGTTCCAAAAAAAAAAAGAGATTGAAAAAAAATATCTCGATCTCTAGTTCATCTTCCACAATCTACGTGTTCCGCCGTTCTTCTTTCTACTCATCATCATTAAACCCAGATGCCTCACAATCTCCCGATTATTGTTTTCGCTGGTACGTTACTCAGCTTTCTCTACTTCTCTTCTTCTTCTTCTTCTTTCTGACTCGCCTTAGTTTAGTTTTCTGGTGTTTTTTTCAAGATATTTAATCTTTCTATTGTAAAAAAAACTTTGCATCGGATGTGTTTCCGCCTGATTTTTGGGTAAGGATACTTAGATCTTGACATTTTTTTAAAAAAGATTCACTATTTTTGATGCTTTGTCGGCTTTTGTTTTTGCTTTAGCGGAGTTTTAGTTTGAGAAGATTTTGTTTTTTGGTTTGAAGTTTGGAATTGTACGACATCTGTGTGGATCGCTTTTGATGCTTTACCGGCGTTTGTGGACATATAAATCATGGACTTCATCTGTGTGGATTGATTTTGCTATATATATATATATGCATATCATTAATTTCTTTCTTGAGGTTTTCTCCATAATTTTGTGTCTTAGACCATTAACGATATATGGTGTTTGCTTGAATATGATGTGTGTATCAGAGGCTAGGCTAGCTTTGGGAATCTAATCACTTGTCTCACTACACCAAGGAAACGATACCCTGCTACAAACATTACCACATGGCAAGGGATTTTTTTCCTACTTATTTCTTTAATTTCTGGGTTTTGATCCTTTTCCTTTGTTGTGATCCCTTTATTATGTTCATTAGATAACCTTGTATGAATGATCATCATGAAACATTAACTTTGTGGACAACAATTTGTGGATTTTAGCTTTATGGATGTCTTATAATGACAACATTAAATATACATTTAACTAGTAATACAACCATGTTAAGTTGTTGACTATGTGAAACAGATAGCAGTAGAAGAAGTTTGATTTCAGAAAAAAAAAAACTAAAGTTAAATAGGTTAGATCATAATGTGATAAGCACTGAGAGAAGGTGAACAAAATTGTGTTTTATGGATGTCTTATAAGACAAGCTACTTGAACAATTTTTAATTCACCATAAATTCACTATACAATATCCATAGATTCTTGAAGAAATATTTTCAAAGGAAAAAACACTAACCATTCACGGTAATCATAACACATGAAATCCTTACATTAAAAACTATGACACAAACATTTCTAACTGCTGGCCATTCAAGCACATCCATGATCTTTATCATTAATTATCACATAATTTGCGTCGCATCCACCACATCGCAACCATCAAACGCTGCCAATAAATCACATTGCAACCATAATTTGCATCGCATCCACCACATCGTATCCATTCACCGAAACGAAACTCTGCCATTGAACTTCAATTTAATTTGTGGACAACGATTCATGGACTTAACCATCGAACCGCTGCCACCAAATCACATCACAACGACAACATTGCAGCCACCACATCGTATCCACAGTATCGTATCCACCACATCGTATCCATTCACCGAAACGAAACTCTGCCATTGAACTTTAATTTTGTGGACAACGATTCATGGGCTTCATCTCTGTGGACAAATTTTTCCTAAACTTGGTAGTCGCATTGGAACACAATGATACTGAAAATCTCAAGAAACGAAAGATGCGAATAATTTAAGTGACCAAAAAGTAGCAAATTTTTAAAAGAGATTAAGATGATAAGTCAGGATTTAAGATACACAACTATTTGATTTAGAAGATTTGGTCGACACACAACTATGAAAAACATGAAAACTGAATATCATCAGAGAAATCCCGAAAAAATTAACGAACACAAAAACAAATATCAAACAAAGGAACACTTAATCGATTCAATGTTTTGCATAATACATAAAAAGACGAATTTATTCACCGTAGATGAAAAGAGCTTCTAGATCTCCTTTCCTAAAAATTGTTAAAACTGTAAAGAAAAAAAAATTATGAGTATAATTTCACAATTATTAACAAAAGAAAGTATCAAAGATAATTCACATGAATATGAGTAAAGTGGCTCAATTTCATGGTGAGTATAAACACCCACAGAGAAGAAAAATAACTGCCGTCGAGAGTAGGAAGAAGAAGAAGAAATTATTATTTTTAATTTTACTAGAGAGAGAGAGAAAAAGAGAATTTGAGATATAATTTAACTTGTTTTATCTTGTTATCTAGAGTAGTTTGTTTCCCCTATTTTGTTAAGGGCAAAATGGTATTAAAAAACTTGAAATACTACAAAAACGATGTACATAGCAGAAAGGGTGTTATTTTGCACACAATTTTAGAAAACGGTGCTATCCTGCAACTCTCTCTAAGTTATATACTAACATGCTAACAACACCATCAACATGTTCACTCAACATATCACTTCATAAGCTAAACCACTTATGAGTTATACAATCACACACTTTTCATCATGGTCCTCTGTCAAACACCATATACACATGTTTCAGTGATTGAATTTCATTCTGCAACACCTGATTCCTTTTTGTTAAGTCGTGAGCTCCGCCGGGCACCTCTCTTCACTTCCTTTTTGCAATTATTTTTCCATGTCTCAAAATCTCTTGAACATAAACTGAAATCCACTAAATCACACATTTAGAAATCCAAGAGCGAAAGAGAAAAATAATTTTTCAATGAGTGGTGAAGAAAGGTTTAGCGTGAGCAGTTGTGATATCACCACAGTAGTCACGGCACACCAGAGCATGGCTCGATTGATCGAGCAAACAAGCACTAAGGTTTCTCCTGCCATGGTCTTCTTCCTCCTTCGTTTCTCAAAGATTGTGATCCAACATACGAATTAAGCTAGAGATGGTGAACCCAAATCTTTCTTTTTCGAAAATAGAAAGAGAAAACAAGTTCCAAAAGATAGAGAAAAAATAATAAATAACATATATTTCAACATTTGATCATTCATATGAGGGCAATAACGTCAAAACACATTTCAGTCTTTTACTAAACAAAGAACAAAAGTATAATACTAGCAAAAAATGGACGTAAAAGAGAATATCTCATTATTTATTGTATATAATATTATTGTAATCACAACTTAACTAATGATAAATAAAATTAATAGAATATTGTTGATAACATAACTAAAATTTTTGAATTTTTTTTTATAGAAAGTTGGAAACATCAATTATTTCATATAAAATATTACGCGTTATTTATTTAATACATATTAAAAAATATGTGCAGGTGGATCATTGATAAATGCTTGTGGTATGTTTGGTTTGGTTCAATGCACCAAACAAACACACCATCATTCAAAGCCGGAATAGCTTAAAGAGAAAATCTCGATTATCAAGAAAGCTCTTTTTTCACATCTCCACAGAGAGATCTTCGATTTTTGCATTTCAAATACAAAAAAAGGTACGAAATTTTTGATTCATCTTTTGGAGTTTAATCATATTCATACTTTATGTTAAGAACATTAAATTTTGTAGGAACCATTTGAGAGTAAAAAAGCTTTCTTTGATTCCGCCATGGATTTAGCTTGAACCCATATCTTCGATTGTGGCTGACAACTCGTTAAACCCATTTCGAATCTCGTTTTTGAAGAAATGGGTTCGTCTTCTCACATTCCACATCTTGATCCGTCTTTGAATCCGTCACCTACACTGATCCCAAAGCTCGAACCCATCACTGAATCAACCCAAGACTTGAGCTTTAAGCTCCCAAACTCAAACCCACAAGCCCAGATTTCGTCACCAGTCTCCAATTTCAACGAACTCACGAACTTGTTCTCTGATTACAACAACGTCGCCGAGACTTTTAGGTCTGCGTTTGCTCAACGGCTTAAACGTCACGATGATGTCACGGTTCTTGATTCTTTATCCGGCGCGATTGTACCGGTTGAGGAGAATCCGGAGCCGGAGCCGGAGCCGGTTCCGGTGTCGGTTGTTGTTACTCGTAGGCCAAAGCCTCAGCAACGTTCGTCTGAGCTTGTGAGGATCACTGATGTTGGACCTGAAGGTGAGAGACAGTTTCGTGAACAAGTGAGGCAGACGAGGATGGTTTATGATTCTCTTAGGATTTATTTGATGATGGAAGAAGTTAAACGTCAAGGGCTTGGTGGGAGAAAAGGTAGACCTGATAGTAAAGCTGCTTCAATTATGAAAGATTGTTTCTTGTGGCTGAATCGTGATAAACGAATCGTGGGTTCGATTCCTGGTGTTCAAGTTGGGGATATATTCTTCTTTAGGCTTGAGTTGTGTGTTATGGGTTTACATGGGCAGACACAAGCTGGGATTGATTATCTTACAGGCAGTCTTAGCTCTAATGGAGAGCCAATTGCTACTAGTGTGATTGTTTCTGGTGGGTATGAGGATGATGATGATCATGGAGATGTGATTATGTATACAGGACATGGTGGACAGGATAAGCTTGGAAGGCAAGCTGAACATCAGAAGTTGGAAGGTGGGAATCTTGCGATGGAACGGAGTATGTATTATGGGATTGAAGTTAGGGTGATTAGAGGGTTGAAGTATGAGAACGCGGTTTCTAGCAAAGTTTATGTTTATGATGGGTTGTTTAGGATTGTTGATTCTTGGTTCGATATTGGGAAGTCTGGTTTCGGTGTGTTTAAATTTAGGCTGGAGAGGATTGAAGGTCAGGCTGAGATGGGTAGCTCGATATTGAAGCTTGCTAGTACTCTTAAAACCAACCCGTTGTCTGTTAGGCCGAGAGGTTACATCAGTTTCGATATCTCGAATAGGAAAGAGAATGTTCCTGTCTATTTGTATAACGACATTGACAATGATCAAGAACCTTTGTATTATGAGTACCTTGCTAAAGCTTCGTTTCCCCCTGGCTTATTTATTCAACGGAGTAGTGCAAGTGGGTGTGACTGTATCCAAGGCTGTGGCAGTGGCTGCCTTTGTGAAGCCAAGAATTCAGGTGAGTTTGCTTATGATTATCATGGGAAGTTAATAAGATTGAAACCATTGATACATGAATGTGGACCAGCATGTCAGTGCCCTCCAACTTGTCGAAACCGTGTGACTCAAAAGGGTTTGAAGAATAGGCTCGAAGTGTTTAGGTCACTAGAAACAGGTTGGGGAGTTCGGTCTTTGGATATATTACATGCTGGTGCTTTTATTTGTGAATATGCTGGGGTTGCTTTGACTAGGGAACAAGCCAACATTCTGACAATGAACGGTGATACAATGGTATATCCTGCTCGGTTTTCCTCTGCAAGATGGGAAGCTTGGGGAGATTTGTCTCAGGTCCTTGCTGATTACGAGCGACCTTCTTACCCTCAGATTCCTCCTGTTGATTTCGCAATGGATGTATCCAAGATGAGGAATGTTGCTTGTTACATAAGCCACAGTACTGATCCAAATGTCATTGTCCAGTTAGTACTCCATGATCACAACAGTCTGATGTTCCCCAGAGTCATGCTCTTCGCTGCAGAGAATATCCCTCCCATGACTGAGCTTAGCCTTGATTATGGAGTAGCTGATGATTGGACTGCCAAGCTTGCCATTTGTAATTGAAAATCTCCTATATAAATGGTGGTTCGTAGCCATATTTTTCCAGGTAAAACTAAGTTAATAAGTCTTACCAAATAAGCCTTTAGTGTCATTCTAGTTAAACTTTGAGAAAAGCACCAGCAAGAAACATTGCAAATGGGTCTTCTATAGGTTTGCTTTCTCCAATAGTCGTATAGATTGTATGGATTGTGAGAGAAATGCTGCAACTTGGTGTATTCTAATGTCTGCTGCATTGAGAAAGCCATTGATGTGCTCTTGCTGTTAGCCATATCATGTTCATTTGAACTCGAGATATACATCGGTTTCTTGTGGATTGCGATCAGGCTGGTATTGAATCATTTGTTTGGTTTTTGCTAGTTGGTGACATGAAGATTGTTGAAGGAAAAGGAATTGTGCAGAAGCTAAAGTGTTTATAAGAGTCCCCACTCCTCCCATTTTGACTTTTTGTGGTATCTTTGCACATTTGGGAGTCTTGAGGTTTTGTTTTTGGGGGGTAATAGTGTACAAAACTCAAAAAGATGTTTGTTTTTGTCTGTACTAGCTTGTTCTTGTGTTTGTCTCCTACTTAACAAAATGTTAACCACCTATCTCTGTCTCTCTAAATTAGTTAACTATTAAATGAAACCATCACATATAATTTGATTCCACAAAGTTGCAACTTGAACAAATTCCCAAATAAGAAGAAGAAGATCTTGTAAGGATTCATGTACCGTTTAATTCTTAGATTGCTTTACCTTACCAGTAAATTTAGTGGTGGTCATGTATTAGTAGTGGCTTAATGCAGCTGCAGAACCAAGTGAACCATCAATGATCAATCAAACCAAAGTAATAAATATTGAGAGATGGACAATGGAGATAGAGCGAGATCAATGGTTGATATGACAAGCCATCAATGATCAATCATAAACCAAACTAATAAATATTGAGAGATGAAGAATGGAGATCGAGTGGATTAATGGTCGATATGAAAAGCTGAAAATATGGAAAAAATTAAATATGATTCTATAAGAATCTGAAAGATTTACAATATTTTTTTTTTAAATCAAATTAGAGTTTTTCTGGCGGTATATTGTGGAGCAAAGTAGCAAACTTTTTTTCTTTTTAATTTTAAATTCAATTTTTTGTATAATGTTGGAATTTGTTTAAATATTAATAAAATTACATAATATTAACCATTATTAAATCAGTTTGATTCGACACTTGTGTTATTGAAAAATAGTATAACGAAGTTTAACCCGTTTTGAACTTTACATTGCATATGTTTGTTAAAACTTTCTATAGAGTTAATATATTTATAACACTTAATCTTTTCATAGAGTTTAAATATTTATAATATTTTTTTTTAATGTAATTAAGCTTTTGCTATGAATAAAGATCGAGCGACATTAATGGTCGATATGACAAGACGAATATATGGAAATAAGAAGATATGATTCTCTAATGAACTAGAAGATTTACAATATTATTATCAAATATTGTGTAGTCATTATAAAAATATATCTTAGATATTTGAGTTTATCTATTTTAGGATATCCTTTTAGTATATACCTAAGGTAATCCTAACTACTATTATTATGAGGCTAATAATAAAAATCTTCCTAAATATTTGTGTGTTCTAACTCTCATTAATTTATCACGACACCAGAGTCAGTTTATGCGTTTAAAGACAAAAATCAAGCGAATTATAAGATTTGCGTTCAAGAACAGAAAATATTCTAAATTAATTCAAATTGTATATTATGTATTCCCTCTGTTTCATTATAAGTGATGTTTTAGCCAATTTTTTTTGTTTCAGTATAATTGATGTATTTAATATTTTTTGACCAATTATATTTTACATCATATTTTCTTATTGGTTGAATTCATATTAATTAAAAATGTTTTTATGGAAAATGGATAAGTTATATGTTTTATTATTTAGTGTGTCAAAACCTTAAACATCACTTATAATGAAACAAAGGGAGTATGAAATATAGAAGATTATGTCTTCTCATTCACTCTATAAAAGGATTTGCTTTTCAAATCATATAGTTTTCGACCTAGCACCATCTTTAATTTCATAAGCTTGTCTGAAACAAAAGTTATTTATTTCAATCAATCACTAAATCACACCGAATTGTATTAATTTATAAACGAGCTAAAAATAAGAACCGGTCCAAAATAAATGTTCATGAAAATTTTCCAAGTCATATCAAAAGTTTTCAAGGATCTAAAATCAAATACACCATCCATATCGGTATATTGATCTTCAAATGAAATTCAGTTCGAGATAAACCAACTCGAAAAGTTTGAATATAAGTTTTACCAAACTCAAAAGTGAATAAAGTACATCTTATCATTCGGTAGTTTCATCTACTTTTATAATCTTTTCCACATTGAATAAAAACGAAATAATAAAGCTTTCTCATGCATGTAAACATGTATCAGGACCATTCATGTGTATTTCTTTGCTCACTAAAAAAAAAGATGCATTCATAAACTCAAGGTTCAGCAATATCAGTATCTTTTTTTTGTTTTTAATCAAAATAATAGTTTCTTCATCTTCTTTTAAACTATCAAAATTTATAAGAAAACATGAGAAAGTTTATTAAAGACACAAACAAAACGAAAAAGACATTGCAAGAATTGGTTCTTTGCTGTTGTGTCGGAAGTTTGGTAACGCCTAAAAATAACCAAAACAAAAAGTGAAGTATTCCTCAAAAATAGCAACACTAACCACCACCACCACAATTATCTCTTTTTTTCTCTAAACGTAGAACACACAACGGTTAAGTGGCTTTAATATTTCCAATTTTTGTTCTTTTAGAGATAAACATGAACACAAACCGTGACAACAAATCTTGAGTTTATGATACCCTAGTTTCTCCGATCAAAAGTAACACAAGAAACATCAAGAACGGTAATGATCATATAAACAAAAGGAAAGAAGAAAGAAAAGAAAAAGAAACAAAGATTAAGGTAAAGGGCATGGAAGACGGTCGTAGAGGATCATCTTCAACACCACAATCACGTAAGATCATGGTGATCGCTGATCCAACACGTGAATCAGCAGCTGCTCTTCAATACGCTCTTTCACACGCCGTGCTCGAACAAGACGAGCTTATCCTTGTACATGTTGAAAGCACTGGTGGTGGTTCTTGGAAAAATGCTTTCTCAAGTTTTCTTAGGTTGCCAAGTTCCATCTCTTCGTCTAGCAGCGGCTCCTCCACCCCCGCAGCATCTATAGGTACCGCGACAGGCTCTAATGCCGCGGCTGTAAGCGCTTTGGCCTCAGAGATTGGTCAAGGAGATGGGAACTTTCTTGAACAGATGAAACGGATATGTGAAATTGCTCAGCCTAAGGTACGTGTACACACCGAGTGTATAGGTATAGATGGGATTAAAGCTACAGGTATACTTCTTCATGGAGACAAGCTTGGTGTTGATGTTATCATCATAGGCCAACGCAGGACAATCTCATCTTCCCTTCTAGGGTATGTTTTCTCTCTCTCCATATATCCCTTTAATGAATGGGTGTTGGTTATACATTAAACCCAAATTTACGATATTTTATTAATTTATAGAGTTAGTAATTTTATAGAATATATATAAAATGACCCGAAAATTAATTTGGAATGGAAGAAATGATTATATTGATTTATCGATATATAAAATGACCCGATCAAAAACAAATTTGGAATTGAAGAAATATATAGGTTTTTATCGAGTTATTAATTTGTCGAGTATTGATTTATAAAGGTTATACGGTATATATACTAGTGGTGGTGTCTTTTACATTTTCGATATGAGATCTTAACAATGAGGGTGTGGTTCGGGTTTGGACAGAACTAGGCGGCCAGGAGGGTCACTAAGAGGATCAAAAGGAGTAGACACAGCGGAGTACTTAATCGAGAACAGTAAATGCACTTGTGTTGGGGTACAAAAGAAAGGTCAAAATGGAGGATATGTTCTAAACACCAAGACGCATAAGAACTTCTGGCTCTTGGCATGATCATCTATATTACATAGTCAGTTTTATTGCTTTCAAGTAGCTGTGACAACAAACAAAAGGAAGAAGTAAGAAGACAAAAATAAAGGTTACCTAGCTCCCATGCACTCATGGTTTCTTTAAGTGTTTTTATTTTCCTCTCATCTCTCTCAATTCTAGCAATGAATGAAGTGTTCTTTTATATGTTTGTGCTTTTTTCCCCACCTTGAAAAATGTGGGTAAACGCTGTAAATATCTAACACATGACAGCCTGATGATATCAATGGGAAGTAAAGAATGTATAAGAGAATCTATAGAGATGCCTCAAATTTGAAAGAAGAAAAAAAAACAAAATGAGAGGAGAAAAATATGTTCATCATTGTTGTAAAGAGCTATGGAAGCTTTTGATTAGTCTCATGACTCTCATCTAGTACCAAGAACTATAGGATCTGTAATGTATACAAAGATAATACAATAAGAATCTTATTGATGTTGCTTGTATAAACAACTCTATTCAGTTCCTCACTTAGAGAGGAAAAAAGCAAAATAAAAAACTATAAGAAAATTAAAATCTCCGTTGCCGGGACTCGAACCCGGGTCTCTCGGGTGAGAGCCGAGTATCCTGACCAGCTAGACTACAACGGATTATTGTACATTAGCGTTTTATAAAATTATATCTCTATGTTTAAAATATTGTAACATGCATACATTGCCCAGATTTTTTTTTTTTTTTTTTAAGTAGTTTTGGCTGTTTATTACAAAAGAACATTTATAATCGAAATTTACCCGGACGAAGTAAAACAAAAATTGACTAGTGCATTTTATCAAATGTTGTCTAAGATGGTCTAACCACACTTCGAAACCCTCCTTTCAATTTAAAGGCTTTGTTTCGTATACATAAATGAACATTGTTGAAAAACATCATCAACTAGTTAAGGGAAGTATGTTTGAGGATTCTCCTCTTGCAATATCGCGGGGGAGGTTGTGAGCTCTCGTCTCTTGCAATATCGCGGAGGAGATTATGAGCTCTCGCCTTCTCGCGATATCGCGAAGAAATTAAACGAAAAGCGTGTTTTGTTTCTGATATGTTGAGATTGTATTTTTGTAAAATGATATAAATATATAAAATGTATGTATTTTGAGATAGAAAGTGAATTTTTACATAATTGTGCAAAAGGTAGCGAGATGTCCGACAGCAATTGCAGTTTCCATTGCGTTTAACGCGTCCCACCAACCCATCTGCATGCAACCACACATTTCCATATTCAAGAAACTAAAATGACCAAAAAAAAAAAAAAAATAGACATAATCAAGAAAGGCTTACCCTTCGAGGCTGTTGTTCCTCTAGGTTTTCATCATCAGGCTCTTGCTGCAACGGTTGTTGGAGGGCTAGGTTCTCATCGCAAGGAGGCTGCTGCACAATTTAGAGTATAATAGGGTATAAGACTATGCTAGTACATTATGACTTCTAAACATTATATATATGTAAAAAGTAATCTCGTGTTCATTTTCAGTTTTCACTATGTGAATTCTAAGGAAATGTATGTTACAAAAATGATACACAAAATTGCCAACCAAATATTTTGACAAATTGCTGACCATTATTATTAAAAATATTTTAATAATTTCTAACTAATTTCTTACTAGCTTTTATTCATCGGGAACTAGTAGAAAAAACTCGACGAATTTCCGACCATTTTTCCTCGAAAATAAGTATGTTTTCTTGTAGTATGCTAAAATGTTATGTCTTTTTGAGCTTAGGGGGGGTTATTGGGAGGATGATTTTAAAAGAGTTTATGGATTTCTAAAGTTTAGAGATTTTAAGATTCTCAAAAAATTTTGTGGATTCTAAAATAATGTTTACCCAGATTTCTAGAGTTTAATAGATTCTTCATATGATAGATTCTATAAATACTTGTGAGAATTGCAGTATTTTGAAAGTTGTTTTTAATGACTAAATATGTAAGGAATCATTAAACCAATAACACTAGAATTTGATAGAATTGGAAAATCAATAAATACTCAACTTTTTGAATAACAAAGGATTTTAAATAGAATTACAAAATACATACACCAATAACAAGAGATTTTATTAGGAATCTAAGAATCTATAAACCAATAACAATGGAATCTTAAACTCTAAAAATCTTTAAAAATCATTCTCCCAATAACTCCCCCTTAGTCTTTGTTTATCGAAATGTTTGAACTGTATGTACACGTGTCAACACACAACCTAAATTATAGAATTAACCATTTGGTATAAAGTTTCGAACATATCTAAACTAGTTAGGCAATTCAGCGTCATCAGTTCGTATAATCACGTCATCATTATATGCCAATGCTATCAATTAAAGTGCGACACATTTTCAAACGTCACGATATATAGCTAGCTATATCTGGCCGCTATTACAAACGCCTAAATAGATTACGAATGTTAAAAAAAAGAACAACGTACCAGATGATGAGGGCTACGTTTAGACCGTAACAAGACATAACTATCCAAGAAGAGACAATGCGAATGAGTATAGTTCCGTCGCATATAACACTTGACGCAGAGATCAAAGGTTTCGCCACCTGGCGTGTCGAAGCAAGTTACACATGTGAAGTGTAGACCACTGAGAGACTGAAGGCACGTCCGGCAGCTAATGGTCCGGGTCCGAGCCACGTAGTAAAGCGTCAAGACCTCCCAAAAGTCAAGCTGGCCGTCTCTATTACGGTCGAGCTCCCTGAACATCTCAGGACAGACCCAAGCTAAACCCGCCGTTCGATGCAAGAAGTCAATGTACTCTTGAAAGCTGACACGACCATCTCCATCATTGTCCATTGCCCGGAAAAAATGCCATGCCAGATCTTGTTGTTCCCTGGAGCCGTTGTTGTAATAAGCAATTGCGGCTTCGTGGAGCTCATCCATTATTGATCTTATAGTTACAAAAGGGAATTTTCAAGATAAGTGGCTTAGACAAAAGAAAGATGAAGATGAAGATACGACTTTGAATGTATATACTCTAAAGCATGTGGTGGAGGTCTCTATGTACAAGCTAGATGGAGCTGGAGACCCTACTTGAACGAGCCAAGAATGAAAATGTACAAGGAGCTCAGACCTCAGAAGCCAAGTTTAATTAGGACCACAAGTCTTGTTTTGTTTGTCGCTAAGATAGAAGAAAGAGACAAGAAATAGATGACTTTTGGGTGTCAAAGTCTAGTTGTAGTGTTGTTTAATGCGTAAATCACAACTTGTTCCATGTGATATTCAAACCAGTATATAGCCTTCGTAATATTTGGTTTCTTACAGATATTGATGTGACAATTAGAATGTGGATAATGTCACAAGACAAATAAGAATATTTTCTTTATAGACGAGTCTGGACTTAGGCTAGAACAAGATGATTACAGGTTGACTCGTAGATCGCTTACAAATTAAGGTGGCCGAGACCGAACTAAATAACCGTTAATAAATCGTCAATATGAACTATTCAACGAGCTATTAGACTAACAAGTGTTTATATTATTTTTTTGCCTTTTTAGGAATGATTCCTCTCTCACTTCAAGATGTCGTACACTAGAAAATTAGAAATGACTGAAATGATCTTCCTTCATCTACCTTTTCGGGCGCTAAGTGAATATTAGAAAAATTTATGGTATTTGCGATTAGCTTCGTATTATATTAGGAAAAATTATGGTATATTTTTTTTAATATTATTCGCTAAAAAATGAGTGTTACCATTTTTCACTTGTCCAACACATGTCCAAAATATGATAATCTGGATACGAGCCGAAAATATACAAATACACAAATTATATAATGATTTTCATATACATATATAGTTATATATTCTTAGTCAAATCTAAAAATACACGAGTTGAAACGAATATCTGACTTAAAAAAAAACTGATATTGTGATTTGTTTTATCGTTTAGGAATACTGTATATTCCTATTTGTTTTGCTTCAAAAATTTCGGAAAGTAGAAATTTTCAAATTTAATCAAAACGAATAGTGAATCGAATCGAATTTAACAAATATTTTGCCCACGCCTTAGGTGTAAGGTTGGCTCAAGGGGTTTTCTATAAAGGCCTTTAAGAGTTGATCCTAGACCGGGCCTATTAAGGGCTAAAATCCATCCCTAACAAGAATGAATCACCACTATGCTGCACTAGAAAAGCGATTAACTAAAAGTGTCTTCCTAGGTCTAGCTTTCCCCTTGATCTCTAGTGTCACGGTTGAGTTCATTACTAATCTAGTGGTGCATACCATGAGTAGTATTTGAAATAGCTATTTTAACTAAAACTTAACGCTTTGCCACACTCTTTTCAAACTCAATGACACATTTTTATAACTCCTATGAGAAAATGTGCATATATGAATGGTCCAGTCCTTTAGTGAAATTTTTACAAAAACTCGCATGATCCCAAAGAAACCCAAATCACAGTTTCGTCTCCTAAGACTTAAATTCTCGAAGTGCTTATGAATGGTCTAGTCCTTTTCCCACAACTGCTGGCACAAAAACATGTAACCTTTGCCCAAATATGGCAAAAACCACCTAACCTTAAAGGTAGCCAATAATACATTATATAAGTAAAAAATGCTTCAACGTACTTTTCTTCAATATTTCATCAAATAATATATATGCAAGGTTATGTTATTAGAGTCGGACTATATATATTCAAGAAGTCTATGATGAAATTTGTAACCAAAATCCACATTATCCAAATTCACTTAATGCTTCCTTGGTCGTTTACGGAAACATGAATTAGTACATTTTGAGTTAAAAGTTAATACAACGAAAACCATGTAAATAATATAGTTCAAGCCAATAACTTAAAACGATAGAGAATTATCATGCATGTGCTGCACAATAAGTTAAAGTGCTAATAAATCTTATCTCTATGTGTATTTTATATGTCTCTGACAAGTTTATATAAGTTTATTATAACAATTTTTTCACGTGGTAAACAAGTATGGATCTACCAACCTAAAGACTCTATCCTCATTTGTCTAAAACAAATCAATTAAATACATTTGCTATCCCACTAACTAACAAAGCTCCATGTGAATCATATATAACCTTACTTTAGTCTCTCAAAGTTTTGTCAGATGAAGTTGTCAATACACAACATTTGATAGGTTCAAGATCGATCATTGGCTTATTGCACCGATTCTATAAGTTATAGTGATGTAAAAAATGCAAATATGATTGAAAAGGAAGAACCAAATATATATATTAAGATTCAATTCCTAGCATTTCAACTCTCCAAATAATTAATTCATTGCAATCCTTGAAAATGTTTTAAAAGTTATTATTATCTTATTTTTTGAATTCTCTTCTTTTTAAAATCTTTTATTCAATACCCCTTCCTAAAACTTAAAATTTACAGTGGCTGAGTACAGATTTTGTAATATGTATTTTTTTTTCTAACTTTATGAGGCTTTTTATAAACAAACCAAGCTTGAAGTGAAATATCCGTATAAATTAATCGGATATTTTTTTTACTAATTTTAATCCTTCTTTATTATCAATAGGGTAATTAACTAGATATTTTGTCAAAAAGGTACTAGGGATATAAGATTTCAATTTCTTATGATTTCCCAAATCACTGTATCAATTTTATTAAAATCATATATGTTTTAATCAAATAATTTTCTAACTAATATTTACTAATATTCTTTTTTGTAAGAAAATGTTAAATTACATATATATATATACATATATTTAAAATAACTATTATACAACAATGGTTGAAGTAGAAATGTAAAACAAAATTTTTGAGTGATTCAGTCGCTCAAAACAAACCAAATATGTAACCTTATTTATAACATCAATCTCCCATCAGTTAAATCGCCGAAAATTAGTTTCGGATCTATCCATCAAATTTTTTATTATTATTCATAAATTATAATTAAAACCGCAGTAAAGTCATCTTTCACCTAGTAGAAGTATTTCCCTAATCATTTTTCAAGTATTTGCTAGCTATATTTAAAAGTATTTCAACTATAATAAACTCGAACCAAAAAAAAATATAATTAATAAGTAATAACCAAAAAAAAATGTAAGAACAAAAAATTTTGTATCAAATCGATTAACGAATATTTTCATTCCTATGAAACCAAATTTTTAAAAAAAAAAAGATAAATTAGTAACACAAATTATCACATTTTTTCTGGTGAATCCACAAATTATCACATGATTGAGCTATTAATTAATTTCACCAACTTAAATGACACAATCTATTTGTTTTTAATTGTCACCAACCTATAGACTCTCTGTCTCACTCAGTCAACGCAACGTTTGTGTCATATTGTCTACTTATTATACAAAGACTCAAACTTTATTTATAACCTTAGGTTTTTCTCAACACACGCCTCAAATCTCTTTTCACAGCTCACCCCTCACACACACACAAACACCTTGAAGAAGACGAAGAGAGCAACCATGGCTTCTTCTGTTATCTCTTCTTCTCCTTTCGTCTGCAAATCATCATCCTCCTTAAAGGTATTTTCAGTTTCTCTATTTCGATTTTCACATTTTCGAGTTTTTCAATTTTCTTATAGCTTTTGTGTTTTTTTTGATCGGAGCAGAAGGATTTGGGGTTTTCTTCGTTTACGAAATCGTCTCAGATTTCGATTCATCGATGTCAGAAGAAATCGATTTCTCGGAAGATTGTTTCTGTTATGGCTCCTCAAAAGGATCGGTCTCCTGGTACCACAGGATCGGTCTGTATCTTCTTCTTCTTATTCTTAGTGTTCGTCTCTCTTGTGGCATTTGTTTGATTTCTTTTATTTTGCGATTTGTTTTAGGTGAAAACTGGGATGACAATGACGGAGAAGATTCTAGCTAGGGCGGCTGAGAAGTCGTTAGTTGTTCCTGGTGATAATATTTGGGTTAATGTTGATGTTCTTATGACTCATGATGTTTGTGGACCTGGTGCTTTTGGTATCTTTAAGAGAGAGTTTGGTGAAAAGGCTAAGGTACTATGCCTCTTCTTCTTATTCTCTTCTTATGTTACCTAGAGCTTGCTAGGTCTTTGGTATGAGTGGTAGTAGTAGAATTCAAGAATTGATGTTGTTGTTGCTGGTTTTACTTTGGAAAAGTGGGAAGATTTTGATTGGTTTAGGGATTTGATAGGTTGGAATCTTGTTATGATTATGTTGTCTTGCTTCTTCTTGTTCTCTTCTTATGTTACCTTGTTTCAAGGTTTTGATCTAAATGGACCTGGAAGTTTTGTTTTTTACGATCTGGTGGTAGTAGTAGTAGAATTCAAGAAATTGATGCGATTGATGCTGGTTTTACTATGGAAAGTTGGAAGATTTTTGATAGGTTTATGGATTTGATAGGTTGGAATCTTGTTATGATTATGTTATCTTGCTTCTTCTTCTTCTTCTTCTCTTCTTATGTTAGCTTGTTTCAAGGTTTTGATCAAAATGGACCTGGAAGTTTCGTTTTTCACGATCTGGTGGTAGTAGTAGAATTCAAGAATTGATGTGGTTGCTGCTGGTTTAGTATGGAAAGTGAGAAAGGTTTAGGGATTAGTGAATGGTGATCACAGATTATTGGATTTTTTTTTCCTCTTCTGGTTTAGGGATTTGATAGGTTGGAATCTGGCTATGTTTATATTATGTTGCTTTATTGTATTGTTTTTCAGCTAGTTGAGAAGCTTTTGTAGATTTTGTATTGACGCTTGATCACTTTTGTGCCGTTTCTTATCGTGATTACTTGCATGTTTAAGGTTTGGGACCCAGAGAAGATTGTTGTTATTCCAGACCATTACATATTCACTACTGATAAGCGTGCAAACCGGAATGTAGACATTATGCGGGAACATTGCAAGGAACAGAACATCAAGTATTTCTATGATATCACCGACCTTGGAAATTTTAAGGTATGATGGTTTCAAACTTCTTATGGTGTTTCTCGATATTGTGACTTGCGTGATTATGATTGATTCTGCGTTCTTTCATTCGGATGAAACTTAAGTGTTTTTTCCCCTCATATGTAGGCTAATCCTGACTACAAAGGTGTTTGCCATGTCGCTCTTGCACAAGAAGGTCATTGCAGGCCAGGAGAGGTACCAATCTCTTTCACTGGATATGATTTGCTTTCTTCTAATTGAATCTGGCGTTTTTTTTTTATTCTGCTCTAAATAATGTGTTTCCCTGTTATAGGTTTTGGTAGGAACAGATTCACACACTTGTACTGCTGGAGCATTTGGTCAATTTGCTACAGGGATTGGAAACACTGATGCAGGCTTTGTGTTAGGCACTGGAAAAATCCTCCTTAAGGTTTGTGTAATAGCTGATTTTCATGATCATTTATGCTATATCTCTATCCAGTGTGTTAAACGGAAATAAGTGGTTCCCGTTTCAACTTGAAACTTGATAGAACAATTTCCCCCTCTCCAGTTTTGTATAATCAAACTGTAGTTTCTGAAGCTCATATCCCGACTTTGCAGGTTCCACCAACAATGAGGTTTATCTTGGATGGGGAAATGCCCAGTTTTTTGCAAGCAAAGGATCTGATTTTGCAAGTGAGTGTGATATGTCTTATAGCTTTTATTTCCTTTTCCAGCTTCCAAAATCTTTACAGATCAGTATTGACAGTAGTGTGAAGTACATTCCCCCTTTTTATGTGATCTAGTTATGTCTTCACCAATTTGCATATTTATGTGAAGTCAATTTTTTTCATTCTAAATTGATAGTTTATTTATTTAACGTTTCCTCTTTGGATTCTATCTGGCGTCCTTCATCTGGATCTTGAACTTACTTCCAACTTTGTAGATTATTGGTGAAATTTCTGTTGCCGGTGCAACTTACAAGACGATGGAGTTCAGTGGTACAACTATCGAAAGTCTGAGTGTAAGATATTACTTTGTGTCCTACATCATGGATCCCTTCTCCTACGGGAATAAAAAAGTATTTGGCATATGATGTTTTCGGTGATTTTATAAATCTTTGCTTCAATCATTTTTGGCTGCTAGATGGAAGAAAGAATGACATTGTGCAACATGGTTGTGGAAGCTGGGGGAAAGAATGGTGTCATCCCACCTGATGCGACGACATTTGATTATGTTGAGGTATGTATGATATGCTTTCTTGTGAAACATCTGATTTTCCAAGTGAAATGGTGTTGTGATATGCGTATTCCTTATCTTATATTAAATGCAGAATAGGACATCTGTACCGTTTGAGCCAGTATACAGTGATGGAAATGCAAGGTACAATCACAAGGCACCCTAAGTTTTATAATCAGTGAGCGGAGTAAATACATGTTTCTGGTATCTATATTTTAAATTTTAGTGCAACTGGATAAACCGTAGTACCCTGGATATGTAACATGTGTTTCGAACCTACTCTTCAGATGAGTAATGCAACTTGATAGAATGGTCTAGCATGTTAAACTATAATTTTTTCTGTTTTGGTTTTTCGGTTGTGGATTATGAAAGTACCCAGTTCACTAGCGTTACAGATTGCTCTTTGCAGTTATATCTCTGTTTCTTAACATTTCTTTTTGTAACCATAGTTTTTTTGTTGTTTTCTTCCACAGCTTTGTCGCAGATTATAGAATTGATGTGTCAAAGCTGGAGCCTGTGGTAGCTAAGGTGGGTTTACTATAGTTACGAATTGAAAACATTGAGTTCTTTCCACCTCTTCATGCCAATTGAACACCAATTTAAAATATTGTCATTGTCATTCTTGTTTTCAGCCTCATTCTCCTGACAACCGGGCTCTAGCAAGAGAATGCAAAGATGTGAAAATTGACAGAGTATACATTGGTTCTTGTACTGGTGGGAAAACAGAGGATTTTATGGCTGCAGCTAAACTTTTCCACGCTGCAGTAAGTTCCACTTCTTGTCTGTCTCTTATTAGACATGTGCACCACTGTTTTACTCGATTTTGGGCAAGAAATTATGATTTCAATCTTGCAATATACGAAGTTATCTTGTAATTTGATTTATCTGCGACAAAGCTGAAATCTTTGTTTAAAGCTCTTTCATCTTCTCTATTACCTCGATTTCCGTTTTAGCTCAATCAAAATTAATGATTGTGTATTTGCAGGGAAGGAAGGTCAAAGTCCCAACTTTCCTTGTCCCAGCTACTCAAAAGGTTAGCACTACATTTCGACATTGCTACTATCTCAAGTAGTTTATGCACTGAATACAAATGATCAAAATGCATTGTATCTTATCTTTATGCTCATCTCTTCAGGTTTGGATGGATGTGTATGCTCTCCCTGTGCCTGGGACAGGTGGAAAGACATGTGCACAGATCTTTGAAGAAGCTGGCTGTGACACACCAACCAGTCCTAGCTGTGGTGCCTGCCTTGGTGGCCCAGCAGACACATACGCTCGCTTAAATGAACCACAAGTACGCACCCGTCATTTACCCCTACTCATCCAATTAAATATGTAGTGAGACTAACTGTTTTAAAAATGGCGTATTACAGGTGTGTGTCTCAACCACGAACAGGAACTTCCCCGGTCGGATGGGACACAAAGAAGGGCAGATTTACTTAGCTTCTCCATTCACAGCTGCAGCCTCGGCCTTAACCGGCCATGTAGCTGACCCAAGGGAGTTCTTGCAGTAGGGCTAATGTAATGTCTTTGTGTGAAAATGCATTGTCGACACTACTACATCGTTTAAATGATGAGCACTGTGAACTATATGTATGTATTTTTCTTTATTTTCCTGTTTGGACTTAGTTTCAAGCACTTTGTTAAACTTTTTTATGTTATGAGTTTGAATAATAAAAGAGAGAAAGAGAGAGTTAGATAAGTCAGTAATCATATTCTAATTCTAATATCTTCATGACTCTATCAGTGATTTGATTGCATGAAGTAAATAATGATGACTTAGTGAAAACTTGGCTAATATCTAATTTTGTGGTTTTGTAATTGCTGGACATTTGTCATTTACAAATTCCAATAACATTTGTTTGAGTTCCAAAATATATTAAACTCCAATAATTGAAGCTATAATTAAGTCAAATATATTCTCTAGGGACTTAAAATATAGAAGTTGAACATTTGTGTTAGAGAAAGGGAATATATTTTGGTAAAAGCCATTGAATTAGCAAAGTCTGGCATGAGAGAAATGTACAAGTTTAACCCTTAATAATGCCAATAAATTAATTATTAACCCTCAATAATACTTATTTTAATATTGATAAATTAGAGAGGCAAACATTGGCTGAGGGGCCATTGACTTGGGAAAAAAGAGCCCGTGGAGATAATATTATAAAATTTGATTTGTCCTCCGTAAATTAAGTGAAACCAAAAATATCGAATCAAAACCAAACCAAGAAAAATCGAATAGAAATAGAAGAAAAAGTAATAATTTTCGAAATAGTAAAAAATGAAAAAAAATAAAAACCGAAAAAAATTTGAAATCGAGAAAATCGGCACAAAACCAAAATATTTCGGATATCTAAGATACAATTAAATGATAAAAAATTGCTTGAAATATTCGACCAAATGAGGACATATATCTATCTTATAACTTATAAATTTGCATAATGATATATCTTTTTCTTAGTTTTTTTTCCGAATAATTAAGAGGTTTTGGGATTCTCTCAGACCCGAAATCAAAACATGTAATATGGTTTCGTGCCAAACTCTGCTCGAACCGACGACCTCTAAACATTTGTCAGAAATATTTAACTATTAGTACTTGGTATCTCTCTTAATTTACTTCTGACCTTATTTTTTGTGGTACTTCTAACATTAGTTTTCGCTCATCATCTTGTCTGGTAATACTAAACTAAGCTTCCCAGTTCCCACTAAAACTTCTACATCAGAAATAAGATTCGGAAAATGCTGTTCGTACGTATTATTATTATCAATCCCTATGGAATATTCCGGCTCTGTCTTTCTCTCTAGCTAAGTACATCTCTCGAAACATTTTTGTATATAAAAAAAAAAATGTAGATTTAAATTAATTATTCTAAAAGTTTATAACAGCCGGCAATACGTGTTTGAGACGCGTCCCTACCACACTAAACAACTCTTATTTCCACAGACCTGGTTGAGTTCTTTTTTGGTGTTTTGTTTAATCAAACACAAGTCAGCTATATACTCTTAAGCCTATAAAAACCACTTGAGATAGAACAGTTTGGAACACATCTAACTAGCCTCATCTCTGTCTCAATTTTCATACAACACCAAAACCCAAAAAAAAACAAAAACAATGGATGGTGAGGAGGAACATCAAATAGATGGTGAAGTTAATAACCATCATGAGAACAAGTTGAATGAGAAAAAGGTATGTTTTTGTTCCTCTCTTTAGATCATCTCTCGTCTCTCATCTAGCTAGTACATATATATATCATACTATATATATCGTAAATCAAATTATTTGTTTATTAAGTTTCTAAATAAGAAATGTGAAATTCCGTCGCATTTCCAATACGAAAAAACGTGTGAGTTTCTATCATGTTTCCAGAAAAACAAATTTTAGGAATCATGTTTTCTTCAATTTTTTGTGTTTCCAAAAGTTTATGTTTTTGAAACGTTTCGGAAACGAGAAATGGATATCGACAAAAGTTTTCATGCAACCTAGCTAGCTAACTATTTCTAATAGTTAATATATGTGCATATATAAGTAAGGGGAAAATATACATATTTTTAACTTAGTTATATATATATTATATAATTTTAATTCATACAATCATCTGATTTTTAAAACTTCTGTTTGGAAAAAATCAGAAGCACGATTTGGAACAACTTAGATTTCATGATGATAAAAAGATAAAATGAATAGTTATATAGGAACATGTTTACCAAAAGCTCAATTATGAATCAACAAAAATGACCATTGTGAATTATATAAATCAATCAAAATCATATTTCTCAACACCTTTTGGCTATTTCATCAGAGATCATGGGGAAAACTATTTCGTCCCGATTCATTCAGCATCGAAGCCGGGAAAACTCCAACGAATACGAATCATACCTCATTGGTATGTTTTTCAAATCCTTCCTATTCAATAAACAAGACGATCATCATCATCATAACTTTGTATATATGTAACCTTTTTAAAAATATGAAATAGTTGAGTTGGAGAACGACTTTGAGTTTGGCATTTCAAAGCCTAGGAGTGGTCTATGGAGACATTGGGACATCACCTTTGTATGTGTACGCAAGTACTTTCACTGAAGGCATCCAAGACAAAGATGATGTTATTGGTGTTCTCTCACTTATCATATATACTCTTACTCTCGTTGCACTCCTCAAATACGTCTTCATTGTTCTTCAGGCTAACGACAACGGTGAAGGTAATAAATTTACGTAAAATTTGCATTAAAAATACAAAATGAAATTTAAAGCAAATTGATAAACAAACACTTATAATAAATTTATTTGTGAAATACATAAAGTAAAATCATAAACCAACATTTGTTTTAAGACATAAAAGAGTTTCTTCATTGGATCACGTACCCAAGATTGGGAAAAGATATGTACGTACGTCAATATATATATAAAGTACGAATCAAATTTAAGGTTTAGAAATGAAACATATGACTTTACTTATTCTCTAAATAACAAATTATTTTTTTCGTTTTAGTTTTTATACTCTCCTAGTAAATATTGTAGACTTATTAAACAAGCAAGATCATATATAATCATATGTAATTGTTTAACAAATATGCAATAGTACAAAACTAAACACGATGGTCGCGCTTTTGTTGGATCCACAATTATAGAATTCAATTAAGAGATCTATAAACGAGTTAATCAAGAATCAAAACTTCTAATTAGATGTATAACGAGTTAATCAAGAATCAAGACTTCTAATTAGTTTTTTTTTTGTTCTTTTAATAGTATAAGCTAAATAATAAACACAATTATTACTATTGACTTTTTAGTATGTGACGCACGTCCTAGAGATGAACATTTTAATTTGTACGATGTCGCATGTTGACCAAATTTATATAATACTCCTAGTGTCAAGTGTGATGCGATTTGCGCGATCCAATATACGTAAACTAATCTTAGATTCCTAAGTTCGTACGAGAACGATTACGATGTTGACTTTTTATTAACTTTTTATTTTGATATTTGTTATTACTAGATTGCAATTGCATCATATAGATTTTTGAGTTTTCAGGTGAAAATGTCAAAGACTAGAGTTTTTTTGTTTTGTTTATAGAGTTTTAGTGTCTAAATTATGACTTTGCATGATTTTTGATTAATCTTTTTTCTAAGTAGAATTGATTATCAAATATTTGTAGAACGATTTGTATTATGTAATAATTTATTTTTCTTATTGGTTGACTGTTTTGGCTTTAAATTTCTATGCAAAAAAAAAAAACTTGATTTGATATTTTGTGAATTTTTAAGTTTTCATTCTCTTTTAATATAAGTTTATTTTTAACTAATAAATTACGTTTATATATAACATTTATCAAATTTATGGGATTTCTTGATATTGCGTGCGTTTAGGTGTATATTTTAATAAAATAGATTAGTGTCATAACAATTGACATAGTTTCTACCAAATCATATGAATGCAATATATATATATATTTTGATGGTGAAATAAAGATCTCAGTGAAGTTAGGTACTACATAATATTTGAATATCACAGCTGAAATAATAATGACGTTTTTATATGTAAAACATTTGGATGCAGGAGGAACATTTGCATTGTACTCATTGATATGTCGTTATGCAAAAATGGGACTAATTCCAAACCAAGAACCAGAAGATAGAGACCTCTCAAACTATACACTTGAACTCCCAACCAAACAATTAAGAAGAGCCCATATGATCAAAGAGAAGCTCGAGAACTCTAAATTTATGAAGATCATACTTTTCCTTGTTACTATTATGGGCACTTCCATGGTCATTGGTGATGGAATCCTTACTCCTTCCATCTCAGGTTAGATCCAAAATCATTATCCCTTAATCTTTTTCCAATATGACCTTGTCAAACAATATCAAGAATCATATTAATGTATTAGATAACATTATAACTAACAATTTCAATGTTTATTCTTTTTTGTAATTTTTGAATCAGTACTATCAGCTGTGAGTGGAATCAAATCGCTCGGCCAAAGTAATTCTCACCGCATTCAAATTCTCGTTTATCAATTAACATGATATATACAACAATGTACTAATGTATACATAAATGTGATTTAATGTGATACACTTTGATGATAAAATGTTCAGACACGGTGGTGGGCGTTTCGGTCGCAATCTTGATACTTCTATTCGCATTTCAACGGTTTGGAACCGATAAAGTTGGATTCTCATTCGCCCCGATCATCCTCGTGTGGTTCACATTACTGACGGGAATCGGTCTCTTTAATCTTTTCAAGCATGACATTACCGTCTTAAAGGCACTTAACCCACTCTATATCATTCAGTACTTTAGAAGAACTGGTAAAAAGGGTTGGATCTCACTTGGAGGTGTATTCCTTTGCATTACTGGTGAGAGAGACTCAATAATATGTATTTTTTTGTTTTGTTTTTATTACAATCCTAAAGTAAAATATTTCCTTCCTAATGATTGAAATGTAATTTGTGAAATTAGGGACTGAGGCCATGTTTGCTGATCTAGGTCATTTCAGCGTTCGAGCCGTACAGGTGATTTTTACATTCCCTAAAGAAGTTTTTGACAAGATAAAAATAATAATATCAAACCTCAGAAAATATATACACTTACTAACCCAATGTTTTGAAATTTTAATGTCGCAGATTAGTTTCTCATGTGTCACATATCCAGCGCTACTAACAATATATTGTGGCCAAGCTGCGTACCTCACTAAACATACTTCTAACGTTTCAAATACTTTCTACGACTCAATCCCAGGTTGTTACTTTATAACTCATTTCGGAAAAATAAAGTATGATTATCAAAAATTGTTCTTAAACATTGTCTATAGCGTTTAAAATATATGTGAAAAGTTTATAAAGTTTTATATCTAACAATATAGTATTGGATGCAACTATCAGATCCTATATACTGGCCAACATTTGTGGTGGCTGTAGCAGCATCGATCATCGCGAGCCAAGCTATGATATCGGGGGCATTCTCGGTTATCTCGCAGTCTCTTCGTATGGGTTGTTTCCCTCGGGTGCAGGTGATTCATACCTCGGCTAAGTACGAGGGACAAATCTACATCCCCGAGATCAACTACGTGCTTATGCTTGCATGTATTGCTGTTACACTCGCCTTCAAAACAACTGAGAAGATTGGTCATGCTTATGGGATAGCTGTTGTAACCGTTATGGTCATCACGACATTTATGGTGACTCTTATAATGCTGGTTATATGGAAGACCAACATAGTATGGATCGTTATGTTCTTGGTTGTGTTTGGTTCTATAGAGATGTTGTATCTATCTTCGGTCATGTACAAGTTTACGAGTGGTGGGTATTTACCGCTTGCGATAACCATTGTTTTGATGGCAATGATGGCGATTTGGCAATATGTTCATGTCCTCAAGTACCGGTATGAGCTAAGGGAGAAGATTTCTGGTGAAACCGCTATACAAATGGCTACAAATCCTGATGTGAACCGTGTTCCAGGGATTGGTCTGTTTTACACGGAGCTTGTTCATGGTATTACTCCATTGTTCTCCCACTATATCTCAAATCTTTCCTCGGTCCACTCGGTTTTCGTCTTGATATCGATCAAATCACTTCCTATAAACCGTGTGGCATCATCAGAACGATTCTTTTTCCGTTATGTCGGACCAAAAGATTCAGGAATGTTTCGGTGTGTTGTGAGGTATGGTTACAAGGAAGACATTGAAGAGCCTGATGAGTTCGAGCGTCAGTTTGTTCATTACTTAAAGGAGTTTATCCATCATGAGTACTTCATGTCCGGAGGAGGAGAAGAGGACGAGGAGGGAAAGGAAGAGGAAGCAAATGTTGAGAGTACACTTGTTCCCTTGTCTAGCTCCGTGCCTTCATCGGGGAGGATAGGTTCCGCGCATTCATCTTCGTCGAACAAGATTAGGTCGGCAAGATTGGTCCAGGTGCAATCCGCGGAGGATCAGACAGAGTTAGTGGACAAAGCAAGAGAGAAAGGAATGGTTTATCTAATGGGAGAGACAGAGATTACGGCCGAGAAAAGTTCTTCATTGTTTAAGAAGTTTATAGTGAACCATGCTTACAATTTCTTGAAGAAGAATTGTCGGGAAGGAGACAAAGCACTTGCCATACCAAGGTCCAAGCTACTCAAGGTTGGTATGACTTATGAGTTATAAGATTCTTGAATTCGTCTTTTGTTTGTGTAGTGTGTTCTCGTGTTTGTGTCATGTGTGTCTTTTACACGTATAGTCTAAGTTGTTGTAACCCAAATAAAAGTGTCTCTCATGTATTTACTTTAATTTGTACTGATGTGTAATTAATATTACCTTTTGTTTTGTGATTGTTAATGTGTATTTTATCATCTTTCCCTACAAACAAAATTTCATTTTCTTAAACCAAATTGATTTTTGTTTTTCTAATCTTTAATTTTTTAGAAAACCATGCCTTTTGATTTCTTTGTATAATACCATAAGATAAAGAGAGGATTCTAAACATATATGCACGAAACACGTGTCATGTTTATTGATTAGATATTAATACGTGTCATAATTTTAACTTTTATATTTCTTAATAGAATAGAAAATTAATTAATAAATACATATTTAATTACATATATAGTTTATATGCTTATTTATTAGTTTTTTTTAAAGAGAGTTTTTCTTGTTGTTAACAAAAATGATAAATCACGGGTAAGCAAGGGCATTGTGATTGGTATTGTACAGTAAGATATGTGAGACCAGAACTCATGAATCATGATGTATACTTTTGTTTAGAGTTTGATGGGTACCTCTTCTAAGTTTTAACTCTCAGGACACAATTACATGAAAGGGTAAGACTTGGAGACATATCGGTATGAGAAATTGCTTGAACATATAAAGTAAGTCATAGAAACATAGGAAAAGTTAAGACAAGAGAAACGTGTTGCTCGATACAAGAAGAAGAAGCTGAATGAGTCGGATTTGAAGATGAAAGAGCGTAAGACTTCTTGGTTATATTAGAAGGAATATATACGTACCTCTAGCAAGAGTTATAAAACATATTAAGTTGTTTGCATTCGATAGTATTCACAGATTGTTACATTCACTGGAGTTAAGGGATCCTTGTTGATGGAGGAGAAGGATCTATGGATAGGACTAAGATTATATCAAATCAAAATAAATATACTCCCTCCGTTTCATAAAGATGATGTTTTGGGATTTTTTTTTGTTTCATAAAGATTGATGTTCTACCGATTTTAATTAATTAATATTAATATTTTGTTAAGTTCAAGAAATAATCATTGATAAATTTTGAATTTCTGAATTGTTATTGGCTTTTAATTAAATAAATTTTTTTGGTGAGAGAAAATAAAATTTTTTAAAATAATCATGATTGTTTCTTAATTTAGGGAAAATCTTCTAAGCATCGATCTTTTAGAAACAGAGGGAGTATTTTAAAATAAATACAACTATAACTAATTTAACTTCTCGAGAAATTGTCACCTGATATATCCCCTAGTTCAATTATTAAAATGCCACACAGACACATTTAAAAATAAAATACCATCTTGCGAGTATCGCGCACATTTAAACAATCAATTTAGAGAAAATAAGGCATTAATTCGAGTTCATAAGTTGATAATGATAACCCTCAAAGTTTTTATAAATAAAGAAAAAAAGAAAACCAACTTCTTAAGCCACAAGCGACCCACGATTAAACTTGACAACAGCTGCAAAACAACCAGAAAGAGTCAACATCTAGTCCAAGTAATAGACTCACTTGGACTTGGACAAGAGAACCCAAAGTCAACATCACTGTCGGCATAGGGAATAACTGCTAGTTGAAACATCAGGGAGTCTTAAGACTTCAATCCTCTCAGAAAGTCTCTTCTCGATAGCGTCGTCATGCCTGAGGTTGAAGCAACTGCTCAAATCAAGGTGCTCCAAGTGTGGACAGCCGTCAAGAATGGCGTTCAAGCCCATGTTATCAAATTCATTCCAAAGAAGCTGGAGGTGGCGTAGCTCAGGCATGGTTTCTCCAATTGCTATGGCGATATTATTCAGCTTTAAATAAAAAAAACTGAACCATCCCAGGGCCGAGGTTTAGCTTCAATGTCTTCAGATTTGGACAAGACTGGCCTACAACCCTCACAGAATCTCCTGAAAATGCGCAGTATGAAATATCAAGCTCTTCAAGGAATGGTAGTTTCACAACTGCTTTCGCAACTCCCTTATCTGTTATTTGACTACACAGTACAAGTCTAAGACTTCTCAGATTACTTGACAAGTAATCGTGTGTAAAAGTTTAAAACATAACCTAATACATATAAAGTTAAAGATCTGAAAGTTATCTACTCCAAAACGAAATAAAAGCTAAACAAGAACAGTCTCAAACCTAAAAAATAAACACATTCATCATAAAACCAATACAAGAATAAAGACAGAGACAAATCTAGCTAAATATTAGAAAGAGATAGAACCTATCAGCGATGTAATTGAGGAGGTCATCAGTACCAAAGTGCCAAATATCAATCTCAAGCAAACCACCTTGGCTACGATCAACTGCATTACGACACATGCTCTCGAGATCATACTTCTTTAAAAATTCTTCGAGGGTTTGCATGTCAATCTTTCGCCACATCGAAGGGTCTTTACAAACGCAATACCACGGTTTGCAAACCTTCTGAGCGTTTTCTAGTATATCAATCACGCTAAGACGAGTCAGTATCAAAGACGTTAACTCCGAAGGAAGCTTCGCCCAGTTTCTTGGCTCTTCATCTTTCATCAAAGAAGGAACGGAAGATGAAGAAGCCATTTTAGAGAAAGCAAAATGTCAAAGTGAAGAAATGAATATATATTATATAATGTCAACGTGAATAGTATAGAAGAAATGGCTGCTTGTCTTATTACATGAGAGATTTACAGTATATATAGGTTGTACAATCAAGGGTTTCAGTGATCTACAAAGACTCTATTAACCTTTCCATATCTATCTCTTACATGCCCCCTCAAGATGGATGGACTTTAGTTACTCCAATCTTGGAAATGACTTCTTGGAACCGAGGACGTGGCAAAGCTTTGGTTAACGGGTCAGCAAGCTGGTCATGAGTGGAAATGTGGCTGACACACAACGTTCCAGCTTGGACATTGTCTCTTATGAAATGATAATCCAAGGCAAGATGCTTCATCTGAGAATGGAAGACAGGATTGGCAGCAAGATGTGTGGCGCCAATGTTATCACAGTAAATAACTGGTACCTGTGGGATAACAATGCCAAGTTCAGTAAGAAGAGAGGAGATCCACCGGATCTCAGAGGCAGCATTTGCCACATCGCGATACTCAGCTTCGGTTGACGAGCGAGCAACCCCCTTCTGTTTCTTTGAGGACCATGAAATAGGACTACCACCAAGATATATCACATATGCATTGGTGGAGAGATAATTGTCTGGATCCCCAGCCCAGTCTGCATCAGAATAGCCATCAAGAGTAAAACCATGTAGAGACAGAGGAGTATTCGCACGAAGAAGGATACCATGAGACTGTGTTCCAACTAGGTAACGTAAGACGCGTTTAACCGCACACCAATGAACATCCGTAGGTTGGTGCATGAACTGCGAGAGGCGGTTGACGGCAAATGCAATATCCGGGCGAGTGAAGGACAAGTATTGTAAACCACCAAGAACCGTCCGATACTCACGCGGATCATCTAATTTGCTCCCACTGGTTAACGAAAGCTTCGGACTTGTTGCCATTGGTGTTGAAACAGGTTTTGCACCAAGCATCCTTGTTTTGGTGAGTAAATCGACAATGTACTTCTTTTGCAGGAGATGCAACCATGTGGATGTCCGTGTTGCCTCCACACCAAGAAAATACTTCAACTCGCCGAGCTTCTTTAAAGAAAACCGAGAAGCAATGGAATTAATGATTTGATCAATCAAATGCGGACTACTACCCGTGATCACCATATCATCTACATAGACGAGTATATATGATTTGATGTCCTTGTTGCCTAATGAATAAGGATGTGTCAGCAACTGAATTAACAAATCCAAGAGAAAGTAGGTGAGTCCGCAACTCCTGATACCAAGCACGAGGCGCCTGTTTGAGACCATACAGGGCCTTTTTGAGACGACACACATAGTTAGGACGTTCCGGATCAACAAAACCAGGGGGTTGAGTATCATAAACCTCCTCGTGAAGTCGACCTTGAAGAAACGCATTGTTCACATCGATTTGTTCGATCCGCCAAGCATTATTGACAGCAACTTGAAGGACAGAGCGCACCGTAGTGGATTTTATCACCGGGCTGAACGTATCTGTGAAATCACGTCCATGCTGTTGATGGAAACCACGGGCAACAAGTCGTGCTTTGTACCTGTCAAGAGAACCATCAGCTTTATACTTGAGGGTAAAAATCCATTTGCACCCAACAATATTATGAGCACGAGAAGGAGGAACCAGTTCGTGTGTGCCATTTCAAATCTGGGCATTGATCTCATCGCTCATTGCAGCACGCCACTTTGGATCCTTTAACGCCTCAGTCACGGTCTTTGGAATTGTTGGTTTAGGGAGACTTGTAAAATGAGCAAATTTCGGATTGGGTTTAACGATGTTGTTCTTGGCTCGGGTTCGCATAGGATGATTATTTGGTGGTGGTGGAGGACTGGGCGAAGGTTCATGGGATGCGTTTGGGGAAGGAAACGAGGAAGAAGAAGTAGTGTTTGGGTTTGATGGAATTGGGCTAATAGGAGGAGTTGAAAGATTTGGGCCTGAATGTGTTGATGGGCTATGAGGAGGTGACGAATTTGGGCCTAAATTTGGTAATGGGCTTGGATTATGTTCTGTTTGTGTTGTCGAGGACTGAGTATTGTTGTGAGAGGACGAGGTTCGTGGTGACTGAGGTGAAGAAGAAGCAGTGGTTCTTGTCTGCGACGAGAGCGACGGCGAAGACGGCGGATGCACAACCGGCGACTGCTGGTGAGAATCTTCGACGGGGACTTGGGGATGAGTTTGTACGAGCGACCGGAGTGGAACTGACGTCACGTGAGGTGTGAGTTGTGACGCCCATGTCGTCTCAGAACCAGAGACCGATTGCGACGGGAAAGAAGCAAACGGGAACACATTCTCCACAAAATTAACATGACGAGACATATACACACGACCTGTTGTAGGTTTCAAGCACATGTAGGCACTTTGTGTGGTGGAATGTCCCAGAAAAACACAAGATGATGATCGAGGCTGGAGTTTATGTGTTGTGTAGGGTCGTAACCAGGGAAAGCACTGACATCCAAACACCCGCAGCTTCAAGTAGTTTGGTGGTGTCCCCAACAGATTCTGATATGGTGAATCGTGATTGAGAACTGCTGTAGGTAATCGATTGATTAGATACACGGCAGTTGCAAAGGCATAGCTCCAATACTCTTTCGGCATACAGGCTTTGTTGAGGAGTGTAAGTCCGGTTTCAACAATATGACGATGCTTCCGTTCTGAGATTCCATTGTGTTGAGGAGTGTGAGGTGGAGTTGTTAAGTGTGTGATCCCATGAGATGACAAGAAGGACCGCAGCGCTATAAACTCTCCACCATTGTCCGAGTACAAAGTTCCAATCCGCTGTTTGTACTGATTCTCTACAAGGGCTGTAAACAAAGGAAATACATCCTTGACTTGCGACTTCTGTTTCAAAGGATACCACCACGTGTAGCGAGTGTAGTGATCAACCAACACTAGATAGTACTTGAAGCCATCAACGGAGTACAACGGTGAAGTCCAAACATCAGAATATATATAATGTAACGGATGTGTAGACACAATAGTATTTTCGTGAAATGGAAGCTAATGACTCTTATTGATGAAGCAATCGGAACATGACAATTGTTGTTGCAAAGACGATGAAGTTGGTAAAGAAAACTTGGAAACAAGAATTTTTAAAACTGCAGAGGCTGGATGACCCAATCTTGAATGCCACGACAAAATATCCGTCTTAGATGTTGGTGAAGCAAACAACAGTGTCGGTTTAGCAATGTTGACTGGCCACTCGTACAACTCATTTTTAGTCCTGCCTTGGAGTTCGAAGATCCTTCACCTGGAAGTGTGCGGGGAAGAATTCAACAGAAACTCGATTAGCGTTACACATACGATACACCGAGATTAGATTCTTCTTAATATCCGGCACATAAAGAACATCATTTAAAGCAAGATCACGAGATTGAGTAGGTAGATAAGTAGAACCAGTTTGAGCAATTTGCAGAGCGGAACCATCAGCGATTTGGATATCCTCACCCCCATTGTAAGGCTGATGTAAAGCCAAATTGCTGAGATCAGAAGTCACATGATGTGTAGCTCCGCTGTCCATCAGCCATGGTGCAGCATCATACCCATTTGCCATCACCAAATTGGCTCGTGGCTGCCATGGGGGGTATGCACGTTGCTGTGGTGAGACTCCAGTGTACTGTTGTTGTAGTTGATAGCACGTTCGAGCACTGTGCCCATGAATTCCACAAATCTGGCACCGACCTTGATAACCACGTGACTGAGACTGACCGGTTCTCTGTGAAAAATGTTGTTGTTGCTGCTGTTGTTGGTTACCACGGTAGTTGTTCTTGTTACGTTGTTGCTGGTTGCCTTTACCACCGTTGTTATTAGCACCTCGATAAGTCACCGCATTCGCCGTAACTGGTAACGTTTGAGAAGACGCATCAGCAAGGGTTTGTAGAGTTACCTCATGGTTAAGTAACTTCTCATACACTTCAGGGAGTTGAGGTGCTTTTTCACGACCAGCAATCTGGTCCTTTATGGGCTTGTACTCGTCAGGCAAACCACCAAGTATCGCTTCAATTTGATCATCAAGACGCATTTCGTTTTCTAGGAGCGCTAGTTGATCAAAACGCACAGTAAGACCATGGAAGTAGTCTTCAATGGATCGTGAACCCTTCTTCCACGTCTGAATCTGCAGTTTGATTTGTCTCACATGACCACGACTGGGAGCAGCAAAGGTGTCAAGGAGCGTAGTCCAGATTTGATTCGCCGTTGTTGCTTTGGAGAGGAGAGGCTGAACGGTTGGTGCAATAGCACCCAGAAGAGAGCTATATAGCAGTCGGTCTTGACGCTTCCACAGCGAGTAATCAGGGTTGTGAGTCACGACGCCGTTAGTGGTGACTGTAGGTGACGGAGCCGGAACCGATCCGTCAAGATAACCCATGAGATCATAACCATCAAGGAGAGCATGAACCTGGCGGCTCCACATGATATAGTTGGAAGCAGTAAGCTTAGTAACATTAGACATGTTAATACTAAGCAGTTGAGGAGGATTGACCAAAGCAATGGTTTCACTCGTGTTTGACATGGTAGAGAAGAAAAAGAAGCCAACAGCAGAGGAAAAAAACAAATTTTAGGTCTAGATCTACTGCTCTGATACCATATAGAAGAAATGGCTGCTTGTCTTATTACATGAGAGATTTACAGTATATATAGGTTGTACAATGAAGGGTTTCAGTGATCTACAAAGACTCTATTAACCTTTCCATATCTATCTCTTACAAATAGTAGCTATATATAGTTGGACCTTTCAGAGTAGATAGGGCACTATGATCACTTTTATTGCTTGCTTCCCCTTAAGAGCTCCTACGTCGTCTTCATAGTTCAAACACGGCAGAGGAAGAAGCTGTCCAAAGCTCTCCCTTGTAAAATCAAAACATAACAATAATATGATTGTTATGACCCCGGTGGTCACACATAACAATAACCCATCGCAATGAAAAACTTTCGATATCTTAATGAGTGGATTAAATAAATTACCTAACTCCTTTATAGTTGGATCCACGAAAGCTTCTTCTTTAAAGGGTCCATGGAGATCAAACTTCATTGAGCAAAGCTTATACTTCTTCATCATGAATCCAAGAAACAGATGCTTTGCTTCTGCTTTACATAGAATCCGATCTTTGGATAGTGTTCCATCTTTTGCAAGTGGTTCTCACAGCTCCAAGAGAAGTTATTGGAATTCTAGACAGTATCTCTTCTACCAAATCCTGGGAAAGATCAGAGATCGTCGTCATTGTTTTTGAAATCTCTCTAGCTTGGCAATCTCTTATATATAGCTTCACAATAAACATTTATTGATTAATGTTAATTTTTAAAATGTATGAATTTTCTATTTTTTTCAAAAAAAATCTATAGAAATAAGGGATATGATAATAGATAGATTTTTTTTTTTTGCTATTAGTATACAAAGAAAATAACTAGTACTAATCACACAAAATTTGTTAAAATTGTACTTTATAATTAAGTTCAGTCACATCTATCTATCTACATAAACATCGAATCACAAGTAGCTATACCATTAATTAATATTTTTAAGTTTTGTTAATTTACTACACTAAGATACATTTATATATATATGAAAATAAGAGAAATATAAACTTTTAAAATTGAAATATTTACTATAATCAACCATTATTTATTAGCCTAATAAGATTTATTAATATTTCTATTTTCAAACACATTTATAACCATTACATTAAATAGAAATAGTTAATGACTATTTGTTAATATTTCATTTAAAAATTATAATATTGCGAATATAGTCAAAAAAATTTGTTTTGTTGGTTTTCTGTTAATATTAAGAATATAAAACCTCATTCGACCACAAAGTCACACTTTAAAAAAAGAACCATCTTGCCAGTATCGCGCACACAAAACTTAATAAAAAAGTTCATACTAAATAGGGCATGAACGAGTTCATAAGTTGGTAACCCTAAAAGTAAAAAAAAAAAAAATAGAAGAAGAAGCCACACACGATCAGACTTGACAAGAGAGAAGCAAAACAACCCGTCTCTTGGCTCTGCATTGTTCAGAAAGAGTCATTATCACTGTCGTAACTACCATGATAAGGGTCATATATATCATCTTCATACTCATAATCGAAAGGATAACGGGGAGTCTTAAGACTCTAATCCTCTCAGGTAATATCATTACTAGAAATCAAACTACAAACACATACCGTACCGTCAAGTAGTTAAACTTTGGTAGTTAAAGCCAAGAAGCAATAAAAGACAACAGATCGTTGAAGTGACGCAAAAGCTTTCAACAATATGAAAATGTGCGTGAAAGGCCTTGTGGATTCAGGAATCACAGCGATGTTTCGAGCAAAAGCCTGAAATCGCCACCACCTCCCAAGAATCTCACCATCAATCTGAAAGGAGGAAACGTGGTGGAGAAGATTGGAGAAGCTGCTGAAAAATAAGGATTGTTTTAGGTTGTGAATCACGGCATCCCCGTGGAGGTTCTGGACAGGATGATGATCCAGGGGATTTGCAGCTTTCACGAACAAGAACCTAAGGCAAAGAAACCTTTCTACTCTAGGGATCATAGTAAAGGTGTGGAATTACTACACCAATTTAATATCATAACTAAATCAGCAGCTGAGACATCGGGGAGTCTTAAGACTCTAATCCTCTCAGGTAATCGCATCTCCATAAGGCTGACATGCGTGAGGTTGAAACAGAAGCTCAAATCAAGGTGTTCCAAGTGTGGACAGCCGTCAAGAATGGCGTTCAAGCCCGTGTTATTTAGTCTATTCCAACCAAGCTCGAGGTAGCGTAGCTCAGGCATGGTTTCTCCAATTGCTATGGCGATATCATTCGACTCACAATTCGACTCACAATGTAAGAACTCGGTCGCAAGGCTGTCGTTTATCGTCAATGTCTTCTGTTGAAATGTGATTCAATGCTTGGTCAAAGAATAAATGTGAGAGTTTAAGTATTTGTCAGTTATGATTTTAGTATTAATTTGGGGGTTTCAAATTATGTTTAATGTAGGACAATAATGAGTCCATGGGGTAATGGGAGTAAGTTACATTTCTAGTTTCTATATAAGTTATGTAATCTCATTGTGAGAAAAGTGAACAAGAGTGAACTAGAGAATCAGAGAAATAAAAGAAAAGTATTATTCAGTAAAAGTTCTTGTTCGCTGTACGTCTTACAGCTCTTCTTTGTTCCGCACGTCTGTTAGTATAACAGAGTGGTTTTGTAGAATTCGGTTCTACTTTCTTTGTTTTTACAACATCTTCATCTTTGGACAAGACTGGCCTACGACCCTCACAGAGTCTCCTGTAAATCCGCAGAATGAAATATCAAGCTCTTCAAGGAGTGGTAGTTTCACAACTGCTTTCGCAACTCCCTCATCTGTTACTAGGAAACAATTTGGAAGTTTAAGGCTTCTCAGATTACTTGACCTGCAAGTGATCGTGTGTAAAAGTGTAAAACAGAATCTAATAAAGATGTAAAATGGAATAAAAGCTGAACAAGAAAACATTCAGTTCAACCTTGTACCAAGTACGACTCGATTTCAAAAAGTGCATTCATCACTAAAAGCTAAAAATGATCGACTTGTTTGTGTTTCATATGGACTATGGAGAGAGAGAAAGACAAGATCAGAAAGAGACAGAACCTATCAGCGATGTAATTGAGGAGGTCATCAGTTCCATAATCCCAAATATCGATCTCAAGCAAACCACCTTGGCTACGATCAACAGCATTACGACACATGCTCTCGAGATCCTTCTTCATAGCAAAGTATCCAGAGTTGCTCATGTCAATCTTCCTCCACATCAAAGGGTCTTTAAGACGCGATGCCACGGTTTGCACACCTTCGGAGCGTTTTGTAGTATATCAATCACGCCAAGCCGATTCAGTATCGAAAACGTTAATTCCGAAGGAAGCTCCGCCCAGTTTCTTGGCTCTTCATCTTTCATCAAAGAAGGCATGGAAGATGAAGAAGCCATTTTTGAAATTAATATATTGTACAATGGCAACGTGAAGCAGTATATATAGTTGGACCTTCCGGAGTAGATAGGGCACTATGATCACTTATTGCTTGCTTCCCCTTAAGCCGTAATATCGACATGCTCTATAGTTTCTTGGAAACATGCAAAACCTCCCAAAGTAAAGATTTTTGTTGGAATGTGTTTCCAAAAACGATGTTTTCTATAGAAAACCAAGAGACATGGTAAAAAAAAAACATGAATTGTATTATTTTCCCAAGACATTCATTAACTAAACAGTTTTCAAATTTGAAGTACAAACAATACTATATTTTTCAGAAACAAAAATCAACGTGTTTAAGACAAATTAAAGTCTATTAGTTTTGATATTTTTGGGTTTTTAAACTAAACTTCTCATGTGTGTTTTTAATACGATCTTTTCCATTTCGTGTGGTTCAAATGAAAACAGCAACATATACGCACTTGTCCGAAGCTGACAGGTTTTGAAACGTTTCCGAGTTGGTCATGATAAGCGTAAACCATATTAACACTACTTTATTTTTAATATAATTTATTCTGATTCTTATTCAACATTTTGAAAAGCATGTATTATAAAAATTACAAAACCTTCTTCCTTAATTTTTTTGTTTGTTTGATAACATACACAAGATTCTCTTGTTTTCTCTTCCACATCTTTGTCAGCTGCTTTGGATAAGGAGTATACTATTCCCACGTTTTACACTCTTGTTGACAACTTGACATAACATATATAGAGAATTTTTTATAAAAAAGATATAATAAAGTTTTCACAAAAAAATGGGAAATAACAAAGAGAAATAGAATATACAAATACATTATATAAGAAAATGCCCATCTGAAAATAATATAATATTGTTTTATGTGATTTAAAATTTTAATTATTTTTATCTGTTTAATCCAATAAGAAAGTGACACATGTGAATATGGTATATGATGAGTTTCTCAGAATTTGTCTCCAGAGAAACGAATCTCGCCTCTTTTATCTATGTATATTTTTTTTGGAAGGGAGAGTCTCTAGGTGTTTATTAATCTATAGAGGAGCATTAAAATTCACAAAATTAAGAGTTTGAATGGTGACAGCGTATTTGTTTGTGCGAGAAAAGCGGTTTTAATATACGGTGCTGTTCAACTGATGTATTTAAAAAAAAAAATTTGTGGGATAAGTACATTTTTCGGTATTTTTGGACCGCTAAGTAAATACTACTTATGTTTTTAAAAGCGTTTTACACCTATATATATATCGGTTAATTCCGCAAATCTCAAAAAATAATTTCTTTCTCAAAAAATGTTAGTTAAAAGAAACTCGGGTTGAATGGTAACATAAGTGCGTTATTGTGGTTCGGGACGAAAAACTCTCCGTTTTTAAGTTTACCATTCATGACCTAACCGTTTGTCGTAAAAAACAATTGTGCTTTATGTTATTAATTTTCATTATTTTGTTTTGTTTTGAGGCTTTATCCTTGACACTAGGTTATGATTCCAGGTCTTAATAAGGACTTAAACTTGGACTCATTATTCAATAAAGTGGTTCAGAGAAACTCCGGCCAACGCTGGAGTTGAATCCATGTACATAGTATCAATAAAAACTATACATCTTAGGGTTTAATAGAAATTGTGTTTACACTCAAAACTTGTTTTTTCAATCAAACTTTCTTGCTAAATATGCTTGTAACACTTCGAACCTTTTATTCTGAATATGTACGTATCACAGCCACGGTTGTATCAATGTTAAATAATTATCGAAATTTTGAAAAGACAAAAAAAAAAATTGAAAACTACTAACAAACTCAATGTTGTCTTTCTGCAATTAGAATGTATTTTCTCTCGCATCCCTATTAGTTACTTGAGGTACGAAATTATTCCCACGTTGTGATATTCTCATACAAAAATATATATATAAAAACAATGAGTACTCTTTACTTAAAAATAACAAAGGAGGCAGCATTTAAAAATTCTAAAGTCACTGAACTCAAAATAAAGAAACATGTTACAGCTTCTGAAGCCTCTTCTTTTCCTATACGATTCATCTCTTGCCCTCCTCTCAACAATGGTAAGCCATGAGCCTCTTCATACCTTTTCTATCCTTAATTTAACATTTTTTTAGTAATACACTAAACTATATATTCTTTTCATCTCTATAGATTCTCCACCTCGTTGGTTTGTTAATTCTCCCATGTTTAGAGTTTATTTGTTTATTGTAAATGTAACTGTCAAACACAAATAAATTTAAAAACTAACTTTTCACACACTAAAGTTTTGTTTTGTTCTACTATTATGAGAAAAGTTCCATGGAGGAGGTCTTAAAGCATCCATGAATGGTGTTGGGAATGGGATAAGCATGAACACTATGTGGAAAGAAACAAAGAGTACACTCATAGTTCCAATGTTTAAGTACATAGTGGATGTGTGTTTGATCCTCTCCCTCTTAGTTTTCGTAGAGTGGGCTTACATGAACCTTGTAGTACTCTACGTCAAGTTGTTTAACCGCAAACCTGAGAGAGTCTACAAATGGGAGGCAATGCAAGAAGATATGGAGCTTGGTCCTCATCAAAACTACCCAATGGTTCTTGTCCAAATTCCCATGTACAACGAACGAGAGGTTGAAATGTTTTACTCCTTATCTCTTTATATTATCTTTGATATATATTTATTGATAAGTAAAGACTAAAAGTAATATTCAAGTTTTTGTGTAAAAGAACAAATTATCTTTCTGTAGAAGTTGGCTCCACCATTTTATTTTTGAGTGGACTAGCAGAATTTATGCAAAGTGTCTGCCATTTTTGTCTAAAGCTTCTTTATTAATATATTACCAAAATGAACCATACAAAAATAAATAAATAAAATACTTAAATATCATTCTTTTTCTTTAATTAATTACTTGGTTTTTCAAATTGAAAAGTAATTTTTATATTTTGGGAAAGTGTTCATAATACTACCAACCAATATCATTATATAATATATTGACGTACGTACACAAACTTGAAAATAGTTATATTTTTTTTGTTTTCCAAACTTGTTATATATATTTTTATATAATTTTTAAGATATTCAAACTTGATTATTGTAATTACTTTGGTTATATTTATAAGTTTGTTTTTCATGTGTGATGGATATGTAAAATAAAAAAAATACTGACAACATTATTTTGACTTTTAAATCTCCAGGTCTTCGAATTATCTATAGGTGCTGCATGCAGACTGATATGGCCATCCGACCGCCTAGTTATTCAAGTTTTAGACGATTCCACCGATCCAGCCATCATGGTCCGTTCTTAATCAACTCTCCAAGGACATAGTAGTGCGCTAATAAAACTTAGGGAAAAAAAGATATGACTTAATTATATGAATATTATTGGGTTGGTTGTATACAATATACTTAATTAGTTAATAAAATTTCAGGAACTGATAAGGATGGAGTGTGCAAAATGGGCATCTAAAGACATAACCATACACTATCAGAGGCGAGACAACAGAAATGGCTACAAGGCTGGAGCTCTTATGCACGGCATGAGGCATAGCTACGTAAAGCTTTGTGACTATCTTGCCATATTTGATGCTGATTTCCAGCCCGAGCCAGATTACCTCCAACGCGCTATCCCATTTCTTATCCACAACCCTGAGATCGCTCTTGTCCAAGCTCGATGGAGATTTGGTATGTACATATTTATATATAATAAGAAATCAAAAGTTCTAGACATTTTAATTTGTTTCCGGAATTATGGGTTTCTAACTCAAAATCGATTAGCAATGAGTAGAGATGATCATGTATATATAAAATGTTAGATGTACAACTCCATTTGGGATGTGGAACATTGTAACAAAATTTGACAATGAGAGAAAAAAGGGTACATGAAAAAAATGGTACTTGACAAATATGAGTTTGACATATATAAAGTTAACGTGAATGTGGGTTCGTACGAGACATATATGATTTGGTTATGCAGTAAACGCGAACACATGCTTAATGACGAGGATGCAAGAGATGACTCTGAACTACCACTTCATGGCTGAGCAACAATCTGGATCAACAAGACATGCTTTCTTTGGCTTTAATGGTAAAAGAAACGTTACAATATATATAACATGCTTTGGTCTCGGGTCTGAAGGGATGTATGGGTTTCGACCTAAAACCTCTTTAATTATTCAAAATATATATATATATTGATATGGAGTGTTCTCTAATGTAGGAACTGCGGGAATATGGAGAATCGCGGCGATGGAAGAGGCCGGAGGATGGAAAGACCGAACGACCGTAGAAGATATGGACTTGGCCGTTCGTGTTGGTCTTCTCGACTGGAAATTTGTGTTCATCAATGACCTTGAGGTACGTTATATGTAAAATGCAAAGACTAATCACAAAACATATATTTTATATGCATCTTCCACTATGAGTGTACATAATCATTATAAAATAAAGTTAGCTGTGGTTGTAGGTGAAAAGCGAGCTACCAAGCAAATTCAAGGCTTTTAGATTCCAGCAACATCGATGGTCGTGCGGTCCAGCCAATCTCTTCCGGAAAATGACGATAGATATTATTCACAATAAGGTATTTTACCACTAAATTACTTTTATTTCATTTTCAGACACAAAACTTCCCACATGCCAACTACATTTTTTGTCTAGCGACTTTGAAAGAAGACAAGTTTCTAACCACTACCTAAAACCAAAATAAGAAGAGGACAAGTTTCTAACAGTAGCTAAAAACAAAATAAATAAACAAAACTAAAATGATTGGTCACTCACTTATCTCAATGGGGACAAGTCTCCTGGTTCATATCAAACCACATATAAACGTTATAACCATGTGCATGGAAATCAAACTTATAAATTTACATTTGTATAGTTGAAATTTTGTTTTTAAAAAATAACTAAAATAAAACTCATGTGATTTTAAGCGGTCGAGGCGGTTATCTAGGCGTTACATAAAAATCTAGCGCTAAGAGACCGCCAAAACCGCTTTCTAGAACATTGGTTTAAACATGTCACATGTGAAATAGGTATGTCCTAATAAAAATCATCTGAATATTACCTAATTATTGATATAATTGAGTAATATGGAATTTAGTTTTGGTTAACCAAGTGGAACCAAGGAAACAACAATTGAGATATTCTTTTATGAGCAATACTTGGGTTCACTTCTAGGGGTGAACCAACCTTGTTCACCCCTATTGATTAGCCAATCAAAATAAAACAATATGCCATATCATATTATATTTAAAAAATAAAACAAACCTTAACCACTCTTTTATAAACCCATACCGAAATATAATTTCGTTTAATTATAAAATCTAAACTCTAACCACTATTTTGTCAACCCAAACCGGAATATAATTTCGTCTAATTACAAAATCTAAACCCTAACCACTAATTTGTCAACCTAAACCGGAATATAATTTTGTTTAATTTTTCTTTCATTTAAGATATTTTTTCTTAAGAGGAGTTTGATTTGTGATAACCTAAACCTAATTAAAAAAAAACTTGTGATAAACAGAGAGTGAAGATTTGGACGAAGTTTTACGTGATCTACAGCTTCTTTTTCCTAAGAAAGATCATTGTCCACTTCTTCACTTTCTTCTTTTACTGTGTCATTCTTCCTACAAGTGTCTTCCTTCCCGAAGTTCAAATCCCTACTTGGTCAACTATATACTGTCCTTCTATCCTCACCATCTTCGGCATCATCGCCACTCCAAGGTAAGTAGTATACTATAATGGTCATATTCATTCACTCTATATGTTACCTTAGCTAGTTGTTACATTTTCACTGTATGCATGTGTCTAGATCGTTCTACCTCGTGGTCTTTTGGGTTTTGTTCGAAAATGTAATGGCTATGCACCGGACCAAAGGAACTTTCATTGGCTTATTTGAAGGAGAAAGAGTCAATGAATGGGTTGTCACCGAAAAACTAGGAGATACTCTTAAGACTAAGCTGCTTGCCCGGAATGGAGGAATTCTCAAAAGGTATATAATCTAATGATAACATAACATAACATAAATTCTTACATATTATTTAGTCATGTGTGTTTTGTCTAGTGATTTATTCGGACAGGTTAGAAAAATATGAGTTGATAAAAAGCAATATCTATGGAAACTAATGAGTGAAAGAAAATGTTTTTGTTGCTAGAGTGAATTTGAAGGAAGTGATGATGGGTATATACATATTATGTTGTGCTTGCTACGACTTTGCCTTTGGGAACGCATTTTTATATTTATACCTCTTCATGCAAGCCACTGCTTTTCTCATCTCCGGAGTTGGCTTTGTTGGAACCTAATCACATGCTGAAAATATATGAATTCATTTTTTTAGCATGATGTTAATATGATATATAAAAAATGGGTGAATTATATTGGGAGTATATTATATTGTATCATTTAAATTTTATCGCAAAACTAAGTGATACGATTTTAAGTCTGTTATTTAATTTATGTATTTTTATTTATGATGTTAATAGGATAAACACAAAATGGGTGAATTATATTGGGAGTATCATTTATGAACAATTCTGGAAAATTAGTAAATTGTGTATTTCTAAGAAACATTGGGATGTCGAGAAGAGTTTCATGAACTCAAATAAAATTTCTCAATAAGCAAGATTTCCACCAAGAAGAAAGAGATGTCGTGCGTCCTTTAAATCAGTTATTTATAAGTAAATTAAATATACATATTTTAGCATCAACTATAATAATTGATGTTATAATAAGCTAGTTTTGCATCAATCTTATAAAATTGATACAGTTTGATCTCCAATAATTTTCTTTAGCAGTTGCATATATCATTTGAACTTTGAATTAGTCTCCTGTACTCGAAATTTTTAATATGATCGGATGTTTCAAGACGCCATTTAATAACCCACTGCAAATTTAAAAGCTCGTGCCACTTTAATTTACCAAGTTTAGGGTTCTAGGTGGCTATAGTTTAAAGTGTATACTAAAGTGTTCTTTAGCCAAGGAAACTATATCCATCACTTTCTCAGTTACGATATCCATATTTTGTTTCTTCGACCATATGTACAAGAAATGGTGGATAAAATAAGTTATGAGAAGATGAGTGATGACATTAACCTCAACTAAAGTATCATTCTTGATTATTCTCTACTATGGTTAATATCAAGTGTGCTTCAGATGGACGTACGTGATAGAAATAAATCCCAAGATTTCCACATTACCATCCAGTTCCTTTTAATTACTAAATTGTTGTGCGTTATTTCTCGCGTACTCGTTTCCATTCCCATGCAACATATTTTCCGTTCTGCATCTAGTTAAAAAACTAGACCAGCAAGTTCGAAACAGAATTTTGTCGATTCAAGAACAAGGGGACGACATGTTTCATGCTTTGCATCTAGATAACTTCGATATTTGTTTAGTTTAATGTTCTTTTCATTTTAAACCGTTAAAGAAAACGCTGCACTAGTTGTTCAAAAGTATTTTTTCTAATAAATTTTGAATTAAGAATAAAGGATATTTGATTAAAACATATTTTATCCCACAAATCGGTAAAATTTGATTAACCCATACATATAGATTAAAACAAGAGAAATAGCAAACCAAAACACAACATACAAGAAAACATGCATATATTTGAAGACGCATTCGAAACTTCAGTAGAGGAAGGCGGAGGAAACGGAACATCTAGCCACGGATAAGCCGGCGGTGGGAAGTACTGATATGACATAGCGTCTTGAAACTGATCCCTCGCATCATCAAGCGACTGCTGCGCATTCTTCTTCTTCATAGCGTCTCGAACGCTTTCAAGCGTCGGCGAAGTCGGATTACTCTCTTGCTGAGGACTCTGAGTGCGTGGAGGACGAAAGCTTTGGGCGGCCATCACTTTATGATCTATATGGGGAAACACAAGAAGAAGAAGAAGAAGGGGAAAGAGGAACATGGAAGATGTCATCTTTGTACTCATGTTTTAGTTTACTTAGCTTATCAGTGTGACTTATGCTTATGCATTTATATAGAAAATATGTAGTGAAGAGAGATAAGAGAGAGAGAGACAAGGTTGGAGTTGTCGATGACTTGGTCGTGTCATGTAAGGGTCTTTTAAGTTTTGGAAGTCTTTGGAGCCGTGTGTTTCAAGGTTTCTCATTTGAATACAAACAAGAATAATTAATGAGAGTGATCAAGCTAAGGTTGAAGTTGTCAAACGACGTAAAGAGCGAATTCAGACAATATAACTTTTCATGTCTTGCATGCTTCTTTCATGTCTTGTCGTGTTTTACTTCTTCTTTTCTTCTATCAAATTTGCATTATTATTCGTAAATGAGACCTTGTAGAAGATATATATGAACTATTTTTTTATTGGGGTGTATTGAATTACAAATTTTGAGAGATTTAAGTGAGTTTTAAAGCTTATTTTGTGGAATTTTAGATTTTTATTTTATTTTATATATTTTAAAAGAGATTAATGACTTGTTGTCGGCAGTATTTTGAGATCATTATTCATTTAGCTTGAATTTATAACTTGATATATTTTCATATATTATTTTAAATTTGTCAATTGGTCGATCATAATTTTCACTTCGTTTACCATAAATTTCAAAAAGACCAACATAGCAATAATGTCTTATAAGATTACAACTAAATCAAACAAATAGATTAAAAAAAAGAAAAACATCAATTTTTGAACTTAAAATTTTGATACGATATCAAATGATCTATATATAGGTAAAAACAATTTGATAAAATGAACTAGTTCTTATAAAATTACACAAAAAAATTAGCTAGGCAAAATAAAGTCCACTATTTAGACTTTTTCCACTCATGTATATGTATTGGTGGATAATTATCCATCCTAAAATATACTCCATCTACGTTGGCAGTATATTCACGTAGTTGACCTCTCTAGTTTAAATCTGGACGATATGCTTCAGTTTCACTATAAAATCTCATGTTCAAAAATTCGTTATGCAAAAAATTATATTACAAGTATTAAAGATGCTGAAGATAATACCTACAGAGGTGACAACGAGATTGGAGCTCATGCACAACAATTCTTCACTAATTTATTTTCTACCTCTGGTCACCAAGTCTCTCCAATCGATTTTGGTGATTTTGAATCTACTGTATCTACTTCAATGAATGAAGACTTGACTAAGGATTTCAGTTCTTCAGAAATCTATGAGGCGGTTTGTACCATTGGTGATGATAAGGCCCCCGGACCTGATGGTTTAACAGCAAGATTTTATAAGACTTATTGGGATATTATTGGTGACGATATAGTGAAAGAGGTCAAAGATTTTTTTCAAACTTCGTACATGAAGCCTCAAATAAACCATACCAATATATGCCTCATTCCAAAAATTGATAACCCAACTACTCTCTCTGATTTCAGACCCATTGCCTTATGCAATGTTTTGTATAAAATAATTTCTAAATGCTTGGTCTCTAGATTAAAAAATCATTTAGGTTCTATTGTCTCTGAATCTCAAGCGGCTTTTATTCCGGGTCGTTTGATTACGGACAATATTCTTATTGCTCATGATGTTATGCATTCTCTTAAAGTTAGAAAAAGAGTTTCTCAAAGTTATATGGCGGTCAAGACAGATGTTAGTAAAGCTTATGATAAGGTAGAATGGGATTTTTTGGAAACAACTATGAAATTGTTTGGTTTTTCCACCACTTGGATAAACTGGATCATGGCATTGGTAAAATCAGTCAGATATTCTGTTCTCATTAATGGATCTCCTCAAGGCTGGATTGTTCCGGAGAGAGGAATACGTCAGGGTGATCCCTTGTCACCATACCTTTTCATTTTATGTGCGGATATTTTAAGTCACCTAATTAAAACAAGCACAGCCACTGGAGATCTCAGGGGTATCCGTATAGGTAATGGTGTTCCGGTTATTACCCATCTTCAGTTTGCCGATGACTCTCTCTTCTTTTGTCAAGCTAATAGCAGAAATTGTAAAGCTTTACGAGATATTTTTGATGTTTATGAGTATTATTCAGGCCAAAAGATCAATACAAGTAAATCTCTAATAACTTTTGGTTCTAGAATAAATGGTAGACTCCGTAACCATCTAAAGGCAATTCTAAAAATTCCTAACCATGGCGGGGGTGGCAAATATTTGGGTCTACCAGAAGAATTTGGGAGGAAAAAATCAGAAATGTTCGACTACATTAAACAGCGTGTTCAGCAAAGAACTAGCAGTTGGAGTTCTAAAACCTTATCTCCAGCAGGGAAGGAAATTATGCTTAAATCAGTAGCAATGGCTATGCCTGTTTATACCATGTCTTGTTTTAAAATTCCACAAGGCGTTGTT